ATTTTTATAAGTAATAGTATAAAAAGTCACTTAATTATATAACTTCTTATAAGTTAATAGGCTATTAATTAACTACTTACTAAAGTATATAGTTATAGTAAAAAACGTAGTAGATTTATAGTTTTTACTATCTAATAAGTAAGTTTTACTATCTTTACTTACTTCTTTAAGATAAATTAGCTTATTACCTTTATAGTTAATAAGAAAGTAACTAAAAGTAGCTTATAAAGCCTATATAAAGTAAGTGCTTTTATACTATATAAAGGAGGCTTATTATTCCTTTTTAGTATACTTAGTTAACTAATAGCCTAATTTACTATAAATAAAGCACTTCTTAAATAAATTACTATTAGGTAGTAATTTACTACTAGCTAACTATAGAGGGCCTTATAAATAGCCTCTCTATCTTTAGGGTTCTACCTTATAGTTATACTAGCTATTATACTTATAGTTAACTTAGTATTAGTTATTACTATAATTATTATTAGTAAAGTATTATAACTATAGCTTATAGTAAAGAAGTAAATTTACTATACTACTATATAATTATATATAAAGGCTACTAAAGGTAGTAAGTAAATTAAGAATAGTAATAAAGTATTTAGGCATACTATAGCAGTAAGTAAGTAATTACTTATAATACTCTTTATTATATAGGGTGCTATTACAGGTAGTTACTTACACTAACTAAGTAATTTATATAATAAGTGCCTTAAGTACTTTAAGCTTATTTTTACTAGCGTTTTCTCTAGTAATTAAATTAAAAAAGGTATAGTAAAGCTTAGCTAGGCGTAAAAGGTGTACTTTATTACCTTTAAAGCGTTATTTAAGCTTTACTATTATTATATTAAAATTATTAAAATAACTAAGTAATAAGGTAGTATAATACTTATATAGCTCCCCTTTAAGTATTACTATTACTACTATACTATAGTAGTTTTATAGTATACCTATATAGATATAAAGGTTATAGAAAAATAGTAACTTTAAGTTAATAGTTTTATATAGGCTACTGTTATATATTAAACCTAGATTATTTATATAGAACTTTATTAAGTCTGTTAATTACCTTAGCGTTAGGCTGTTTTACCTGCTTACTATTATAGCTATTATAGTAGGCGTTACTAATAGTAAAAAACGCAGTTAGACTTAGGCTTTATAGATTTCTACTGTTATCTAGGGTTTTTATAGTAATAGGGCTAGAGGAGGTATAAATAATAGGTTATTATATAAGGTTGCCTAAGTAATTACTAGTAATCTATAGGTAGTAGCTTATTTAGCTTCTTATACTATAATAATTACCTTAGTAGTTAACACTACTATACTAGTAATAGTCTTATAGAAATTATAATCTATTACTTACTTCTTAAATCCCTTAACTTATTATATAGTAGTTATAATTATCTTTTTATTTTATATAGTAAGTAACTTATCCTCTATAGCCTTATAAATATATAATATAACTATAAAGTGCTTTAATTAGTTAACTTATACTTTATAGCTAGTAAGGTAGTTATATAGCCTTATAGTAACTTTATAAAGTAATTACTTAAAATTATTAATTAACTACTCCCTAAAGTTATCTTACGCTTTATCCTAAAAGATCTTATATATATAATTATAGTACTTATACTTAGTAATATTAGCTATAGTAATAATAGTAAGTACGTTCCTTTACTTATTAACTATAAGGTCTTATAGTAACTTTATAATATAGTCTTTTTACTATTAGGTAGTAATAACATACTCTTTAAGGCCTTTAGGCACTTTATAGGTGCTATAGATTTCCTTTGCTTACTTAGTAGCGTTAGGTAGTAGCTTGTATTTAAGGTAATTTCCCTTTCTTTCTTAGGTTTTAACTACCTTATAGGCGCTACTTACTAGCTTATTATAGTTACTTATCTTAGTTACTTACTTATAATTACCCTCTATTAGCCTAACTACCCCTTAGTTACAGGCGTTTCCCTTAGCTATTACTAAAAGGCGTATATATTTATTAAAGGATTTACTACTAGTAGTATAAGTAACTATAAAGACTTATAGTTAAATAAAAACTTAAAAAAGGAAAAGCTTACGTTAAGCTTATAAGTAATAAAGGCTATTACGTTAGTAACGTAAAATAATTTAAAGAAAAATAAGAAAAATATATAAAAAAGAGAAAGTTAGTAAGCTTTATAGGCTTATAATAAAAAGAAGGTAAAAAGTAAATAATTACTAATTAATAGTAAGTTAATATATAAAGTAAGGTGTTTTTTATAGTTAGATAGGGGACTTCTTATATAGTAATAAAGTTAATTTACTTATATAAATAATATAAATTTATACTACTCTTATTATATTAAGGGGATATAACTACTAAGTAATATAAATTAACCTAAAATAGGCGTATAGCGTAATCTTATTATAAGGGTATTTATAGAGGGATTTTTTAGTAAAGCCTACTCTAGGCCTTTATAGATAATTAACAGTAAAGAATTACCTTTTCTTATATTACCTTACTAATCTATAGTAGCTTATAGTAGTAGTTACTATAAAGTTAACTACTAATTAGTATTAGTTTTACTAGGATAGTAATATAGTTAACTATACGTATTAATAGGTAAGTAATAAATAATAGGGGTAAATACTAGTTCTAAATTATACGTAAAGAAGGAAAAACTATTGTAAGATTACGTGGCGAATTCACTGCGTAATATCCCTGTAGATCTAGTAGATCTACAGCAAATTAGCCGTAGTTATTCCGACCGATCGGCGTTAATCCATATCGCCAATATCCAGGCGATAGTCAACATCACAACAGTATTCTTTCATCCCAGTGTTAACTCCAAAAAGCATAGCAATAAGCAGTCCTTACGTTTATAACTAATTTAGACATAGTAGCAGCACGTTTTAGTACTTATATATTACGCTAAAGTTAAGGGCACAGGCCCTAATTTCCTATATATCTCTTCTATTACTATACCCTCTTGTTACCAACAACAGTTACATAAGTAGGATCAAGTCAAAGCCCTTGTACTAGCAAAACTATCTACAAAGTAACAATTTCCTACACCATATCTTCTGTAGAGACATATCTAGCTGTTCTCTTTACAGATAGATTAATCTAACTAGTAGGTCTTCCAGGCGTATTAGCTCTATAGCGCTTTAGGCATGCATTTAGTCAAGCCTAAAATCCAGAGGAACACCTTATCAGCACGTCAAGCAAAGTAGGACCCTTCAGCTTCTAACAACGCTAGGCGTTATACACATTCTATATCAGCTATTCTATATCTATAATTACTTATAGGTATACTGTAGAACATTTGCTGCAGATAAGTCACACAGTTAGGCCGCAAAAGGGAATTAGACAGGCTTCTAGTGTTCCTTAATTTTATTTAAGACCACGCCACAAAGAGACAGAAGCTAAGTCTTAAAGAAGTTAAGTGCAGAAAAATACAGGCGTAGCACAACCTGCATTACTAAGGTAGTAAATCTATTAACATAACCGCAGATCACAGGCAGGTGCCCTTTTCATAGGAACACAATAGCAATTCTAACCGCCTGCATCCTGTAACCTACTCTATTGGTGCTAGTTAGTGTTAGGCATCAAAAAGATCCTTCTAGCCAGACTTTCCTATTCTAGTACTACAATCCAGTCTGTCAATAAAATACAAGTGTCAAACAAGGACTAGAACCAAGTATACAGAGAGATAATAAAGCAGAGGAAATGCCGCATTTAGTTACAATAAATAGGATATGTAATTTATATACTCCCTAGTCCACTTCACAGGCTGTAGCCACGCTTGTTCTCAGGCAGGGATGTTTTATCACAGAGGATAGTTAAAGAGCGCCACTAGGGATAGTTGGAATAGTCGTTTATTAACTATATAAGTACCAGTAATTACCAGCACAGTCTATTACTAATATACTACAACAGAATTTCAACATATCTATATGCTTTATCTTACTTCCTCTCTATTTTTATAGCTCTATTATAAGCTTAATACAGGACCCTATTCTTGTCCGACTTCAAGATAATGCGGCGCAGCATAATAAATAGGCAACCATTAAGTTTTAGAGCCATGTCGTAGTCGATGACATAAAGGCCGCTTTAGAAGAGGACTCACTATAATACAGCATGGAGCGTTTGTCGACGCCGGGCGTAGCGTTTGGTAGAAGCGATAATAAGATGATGATTAGCATCTTCCATTGTGTTTCCAAGTAGCCATCAAACAAACGCGACCTAGAGTCCCGAAGGAATCCTAATTCCGGGGTCTGCTAGCCCTACGGGTAATCATGAAGTCGTGTAGAGAGAGAAGAGTAGAGCACTTCTTTCTTGTTTCATCTCGCCTGGGCACATTTCTAACTGTATTTGGCATTTCGGACAACACCACGACCATTTTTCAGACTGCCACCGAGTTGAACCAGAGGCTCGTATCACGCAAGAGGTCAATACTGTGACCATTGGTTGTAGAGGCTGAAGGTCTTGGCAGTCAAAAATCGGTAAGCTGACACTCTACCAGATGTGAGAACTAACTCATTATTGACCAGATGTAGGCTCGCAATCTTATTTGGATTGTGGCAAAAGGTCAGACTGCTCCAGGGCGCAGTTCCTGGGCAACGCCAAAAAGGGATATATCCTTCTCAATGTAATATTTACCTATGTATTCGGTTGTGAAAGGACTGCATTCGGCCAAGATCTCACACTCCTATCAAGCTCGAGGTAAGCTCAATGGTCAATCCAGTGCGCTCCTCCAGGAATCTTGCAATCACAGTCAGATCTGAAAGAAGGCTCTCTTGTGAACTAAATTAGGACACTGGAATATCGGCGGAATAACCCGGCCACGGTCTAACATAGCTGGGTGAACTATACCAGGATATGAGTGTATAAAAGCAAGTTTCCAACCTCACAATCACAGTTGTTGGGCTACTTCCAATAAACAGCAAGCCAATATAACTAAAAAGACCCCTATTGTATTCTTTTTCATTCATTGGAATCAATCTAGCGTGTGGCCGCAAGAATGAGGGCCTTCACGTATCTGCCGTTGCTCGGCAGTCTGCTCTTCGCCGCCGTCAACTCCGAAGACACGTCAGACATATCTCGCAGAAATGAAAAGTTGCAACAATTCTACAACCATCAGGCTAAAGACGGTACTTGTGTCAAGTACTTCGACCCAAAAGTCCCGAACGACGGTTTGACGCCTTGCAGGACATATTGCAAGGCGAAGGGGCAGCCAGAGGAGAAGGTCGGTGTAAGTGTCCCTCAAGGATCCCAGAAAATATTTGTGCTTGGGGATCTCGCTAATTACAATGGCACAAAACAGTGTCATTCTGGTCCTACCCCCACAGGCAAAGGACCGTGGTACACAGACACCGACGGCTACGAGTGGTACCCGGGCAAATGCTTCTGCGCCGAGGAGATCGACCCAATTGCCGAGGCGTTCGCCATCCCCATCATTGAGAGCCTGGCAAAGCTCGACAACGTCATATGCGGCGTCTTTCTCCAGGCCGTCGTTGAGAGCATCAACATCGGATTCGCCCTCGTTCCCGGTGCTGGCCAAGCCGCCACGGCGGCGCGGTTGGCGACGAAAGCGGCTGTTGAGGGCGCCAAGTCGTTCGCGGAGAACTCGATGAACCCGACCGACTTCTTCGACGGGTGGATCAAGAAGGGCTGTGGCATCGACAAGATCGAGCTTGACTACGACGGAACCTTCAACTCGCTAGTAAACGCACCCGACTCGGTCGGAACTAGCACCGGGTGCAAACGTAAGAAGAAGGGCGACTGCAAAAAGCTTGACCGGAAACCGGACCCGACAACGAAGAAGGAAGATACTCCGGCGACTACTAAGAAGGAAGATGCCCCGAAGACTACGAAGAAAGAAGGCGCCCCGATCACGACGAGTAATGCCGGCCCGACCACGACCGCTGGGTCAGACAGAGGCCTTTCGAATAGCGATAAGTCGCAGGCCACATTGTCCAGTACCAGTAGTGTGAGCCCCAGCGAGACTCCGGTCACCTGTCAGTCGTGCCGCTCGTCGAAGGTAAAAAACGCAGCGCGGGACGCCAGATGGGGCTCCATGTTTGTGCCGCGCGCGGCCGGCGACTCTTGCATCCTAGACAGCTCTAAAGGCGAGGACAGCTGCGCCGCCTCAGGCCTCGATACCCGGGATGGACTCTTGTCGGAGAGGTCCTTGACTAAGGATGACCCGAAGTTAACGCTTGCCGGGAAAACGTTCTGGATCGACTGTGGGAGGCACAAGCCGTGCGCGGATGCGAGGAAAGACAGCAATATTGACAAGTACTACTACATCGAGGGCGATTCCAAGTGCGGCGGAGATCTGAAGATCGGGGGGACTAGAGATGTCGCGGGCTTGGAATTCCAGAGTATGGTCTCTCTCACGTCTTTTCGTTTGTTGGTGAACGGAGTATAGGGGCTGTGTCGGGATATTCAACTGTTCAATGGTAGAGCCGATCCATGGTCACGTGATTTACCATCACGTGACTCACCTTAGCGGCTCACTTACACTACCACAAATATCTGCAGCAATAACTTCTTCTTCTTTTTTAATCTATCTTAATAAGTAACTAGTAGTTAATTAAACTATTACTACTTTATAATTATAATCCCTATAATACTAACACTAATTAGTAGTTAACTTTATAGTTACTACTACTATAGATTAGTAAGGATTATTAGAAGAGACTATAGTACTTTACTTACTATAGCAGCTTAAATTAAAGTATTAAAGTGCTACCTAGCCTAAAGATTATTAGTACTTAGGATCTTATAATACCTAGTAAATAACCTTTTAAGCCCTATATCTACTATATAATAACTACTATTACTACTATTAACTTTATTACTTTTAAAGAAGTCCCTTCTTTTATATACTACTTACTTACTAATAACCTTTATAGTATTTAGTATAATTATCTTCTTTTTATACCTAAGTTTCTTTAAGTTCTTTTTCCTTTTATTTTTTAACCTTTTTTTCTTCTAATTATTAAGATTTTTATCCTACTAAGTTTTTATCTTATTATAGTAGTAATAGCCTATATAAGATTATAAGTAAACAGACTCCTATAAGTTCTTATCTAAATAAGATCTTACTAGTAGGACTAGCTATAAAGCAGTTAAGTAAGAACTACTTAAGTAATCTACTTTTAATATAGTATTTATAAGTAAACAGCTTCTACTAATCTTACTTTTATACACTTCTAATATTACGTTATTAGCTAGGCGTAGCCTATAGTAATTATAACTTCTTCCCTTAACTAGATTAGTAGCTAAGTGTTACCCTTAGTAAGTGCACCTCCTTTTATTCTTTAAGTAAGGTAAAGAAGGTAGAGGTTACTTATATTACCTTAATTTACTTACTTTTTTTCTTATCCTTTAAAATACCTATTAATAACTACACTATCCTCTTTACTTTCTCTTCTTCTTTAAGTAAAGTATAGTTATTAGTAACTAATATAACTTTTACTTAACTTTACTATCCTAATTAATCTAAAAAGACTACTTATTATTTACCCTTAAGTAAGGTATATAACCTTAACTCCTTACCTTTTTTCCTTTAAAGTCTTTAACTATAGTATCCTGCTTACTAAAAAGTAAGGTCTGCATACGTCTCTTTTTAAAGATAGCGTGCGTCTCCTTTTGTTCTTTAAGTAAGATCTAGCGTAAGGCCTCCCTAGAGCTATCTCTTTATGTTACTAAAGCGTAAGGCCTCCTTAGAGCTATCTCTTTACGTTACTAAAGCGTAAGGCCTCCCTAGAGCTATCTACTACTATCTATTTATCTATTATTTTATCTCTTTATTTACCTTATCTTTTACCTATACCTCCTTATATTATATTATTTATCTACTTATCTTATTATTATCTATACTAATAGTAGTAATTCCTCTAACATACAGATTTACCTCTAACCCTATAGGTAAGAAGTAAGTGCCTATATTTAGGAGGTTAGTAAGGCTAACAGAGGGTAATAATAGTAAAGGAAGGACTAGGTAAAAGGTAAAGTAAACTATAGGCACTAGCTAGAGTAAAAAAGTATATCTATCTATAAGATATTAAGGATCTATATCTTATCCTAGAGCGTAGCTAGCCCTTTATTATTATATAACTATAAGGTATAACTAATTTAGCTAATATTCCTAACAGCCTTACCTAAGTTAAGTAATATAACGCCTTAAGCACTATTATTATACTCTAAATAATATAATATAGCTTTATATAGCTATATAGTTAATAGCTATAAAGATATACTACTAAAGACTTTAAAGAATAGTTACTTAATACCTTTAAAAGTACTACTTATAAAACTATTATTAAATTTAGAGACTACCTAATATATAGGGGTATATAAGTATTAATAGTAAAGTTACTAACTATTACTAAATAAATCTACTATACCTTTAAGGCTAATAATCTAAAGGTGTAGACGCTTAAGGATATTAAAGAAAGGAAGAAAAAGAGTAAGGATTTTTACTTAAAGATTAATAAACCTAACTTTATATAAGATATTATAGACCTACTACTAAAAATAATATTAACATAAGATTAACTAGGCCCCTCTTATATTATTACCCCCTTAGTATAAGTTACTTACGTCTAGAAAAGTTAATAAAGGCCTATTAATTTAGCCTTATTATATAATAACCTAAATTTTATTCTTTTACTATTTAAGTAAATAAGTAATACTCTTTTTTACCTATTAGTTATACTAGTTACTACTACCTTACTTATAACTTACTAGCTTACTAACTTTATTAAATTATACCTTAATAAGATAAAGTATAGTAAAAAGGTATATAAGTTACTTAAATTAAAGCTTATAATCTTTTATAACTACTATATAAAGGCTAAGATTTAGTAAGAGCACTTTATAAGCGCCTTCTTTATTATACTTAAAGGTAAAGCTATAAAGTACTATACTAACTATCTTTATAACTAGACTAACTTTATTACTATAGTTATATAGATAAGGGGTAATTTTAAGAATAAAGAGACCTTTTAGGCCTACCTTACTAAGCTATAAAGGACTAATTTAATAAGGACTATTCTAGATAATCTAAATAAAAGTAGGGCTAAATACCTAAAGTTACTTATTAAAAAGGTAACTACCCTTATAAGAATAGTTATAAGGATTAGCACCCTATCTAACATAGCCCTTTATAACTAATTACTTAACTCCTGCTATAAAGTAGAGAAATACTCTCTTACCCTCTTTAATCTATTATCTACGTTTACTAGTGTGTATAGCTAGCTCTAATTAGTAATTAGTAACGTAATATAATTTAAATAACCTATATGTTAATACCTAACTAAAGAAGTAAATAATTAATACTAAACTAACTATACCTATAACAGCTAGTAAAGTTACTAGTAATTTAGCTAATATAACTACAGCTATAGTAACTTTACACTATAGCGCCCTTTTAATAGCAATCTATAGTAATAAGTACCTCCTTTACCCTTATTATTATTTATAAAGAAGTACTACGTATATAGTAAGCCTAACTATTAGTTAATAAGGCACTTAAAGGACAAAAAGTAATAAGCCTACTATAAGTATAAAGAGTAGTATCTAATAGACTTTTTACCTAAAGCCTTTAACTACTTTATAACTAACTTTAAGGAATATAAGCTATTTACTTTAAATAAAAAAGGTAACTATATAAAAAGTAATAAAGATAAAGAATTAGGCACTATATTTTATATATTAATAACGTTCTTTAACTTATCTACTATTAATAGGCCTGCTCTCTTTTTATTACTATATAACTAATCTATAACCTATTTTCTTATAAAAGATAACTCCTTACGTAAGAATCTATATAATAATAAGCTACCTAACGCAGACGTCTTTACCCTTAATAAGTAATATTTATTTATCTTATTCTATAGTATTATACCTAACTTTAGCGTAACTAAATATTTAATAGCTAAATATAAGTAGTATCTTACCTTTTACTACTAAATAAAAGGAAATCTAGCTATAAATAAGTTATAGGTAAGTAAAGTAAAAATCTACTTTAGTAGTAGTAACTACTTTAAATTATAAGGGGTAATTAACATACTAACCCCCTTTAGTATACTAACCTTTTATATAATACTATTAAATACCTTATTTCTACTTTACCTTATAAATATAGATTAGTATAGTATTAAATTTAATAACCTTACTAATAAGCTAATCTAAGGTAACACTATTATACCTACTGTCTGTAAATAAGGCTATATATAGATACTACTTAATTAATATAAGTAAAGTATTACCTACTACTATCTTATAAATAATAAGTTATAGTAAATTTATTATTACTTTAGCTACCTATTAGTCTAAAGGCTCTATTATATCCTCTAATAATCTAGTAATAAAGTTAAGATTACAGCCTTAAAGAAATTAACTAAGGTCTACTACTACTACTAGATAAATATAAAGGCGCTTAGTTACTTTAAATTTACTTTACGTAATAATAAATATAACTTTAACTATAAAATTATTATTAATATTATCTACCTTAATAGTAACTACCTAACCTTATATATAATTAATACTATAATATCTTTCTAAGTAGCCTATTTACTTAAAAACATTACTATAGAGTATATATAGGAGGCACTTTAGATATACTAAATTAATATCTACCTTAGCCTACCTAACTAGATTATTACTAATACTAGCCTAAACTTTTACACTAGTAAATTTAAGTAGTTAGTAAGGTTACTTTATATTAATATTAAAGAAATACTAATTAAAGCCTATAATAGTATTAGTAAGGTTAAAAGATACTATATACCCCTCTAACGCGCGTATAATATCCTCTATAATAAAGGCTAAGCACCTAAGGTTACCCTTTAGCTAGCTATTAAAGTAATTAATAATATAGCCAGCCTAAATAGCCTAGTACTTACACTACTAGTCTTTAGCGCCTACCTATAAATCTCTAACTTATTACTACCTTTACTAACCTTACTTAAAAAAGCTAAAGCAGTAAGAAAAGTAATAGAGGCTATTTACTAGATCTATATAAAAAAGTAAGTTAATAAGGTAGTAACTATATATAATAGCCTAGATACTACTATAATAATAGCCCTTCTGCTTTAATTTATAGTTTACATCTAGTATAAGAAAAAGGGCTAGTAAGGCCCCTTTTACCTTATTACTAGTAATAGGACTACTTATACTATTAACCTCCCTTAAGGCCTATAAACTTTTTATTTAACTATTATTAAACTATACCTTAAAGATACCTATAATAAGTAATAATAGCTACTCTTTAAGGTAGGTAGGTAAAGTAATAAGGAGAATAATAATAATAATATAGTAACCCTATTACCTACTAATATCTTTATGCCTACTAAAGAAATATATAATAGTATTACTATTACTATACACCTATAGCTAAAGTAAAAAGCTAGCTACCTATAGAGGTATATTAATTTCTTTAATAAAACTAGCTTTACTATTAGGCCTACTACCTTCTTTACTACTATAAGTATAGTATATATCTTAATAAAGGAAAAAGCTAACTAATTATTATTAATTAAGCTATAGAAAAAAGGTATTATTACTACCTTAGGGAAGCCTTTTAAGTAAGTAACTACTACTAAGATTAAAAGGCTTATTACCTATAAGGTATTTTACTTTATTTAATATAATAAGAATAAGCACGCTAAAGTATAAATATTTAAATTATAAATTATTAATAAGGTAAAAGGCTAGAATAAAAAACTATATAAGAAATCCTACCTTATTATCTAAGGATATACTAATAATAGTAAAAAAGTAATTCTTACCTAGTTACTTATAATCTAGTAAGCTAGCTAGCGCCTTATTTTTACCTTTACCTTATCCCTTATCTATAATAATAATAATTTCTTACTTTAGTTATATAATATTACTTAGGTATATATATAGTTAACTACCTTATTAAATTATATAATTCTTATACGCTTTCTATTATAAATATAAGACCTCTATCTAAAGGGCACTATTATATAAGTAGTAAAGCTATTATATAGTATTATAGAGGTAGGTACTTACTAGTAGGTAACATATAGTTACTACTATAAAGAAAAGCTTTAGATAAAGACTTTAACCTTTAATTTATGCCTACTAATTACTAATATAGAGAGCCTAGACTTTAGGATTATTAGTATATAGACTAATAATACTATTACCTTTTTAAATAAATCCTTTTCTACTTATAAGGCTAATAAGCTTACTAAGGCTATATTTACTACTAAGGAGAAGTAAATCCTTACTATTAATAACTTACTTACTTTTAATAGTAGTATAGTATCTCTAACTACTAAGGGAAAGCTTTTTCTTTAGTAAAAAGGCTAGGGTAAAAGACTTAAACCTATTAATAAAGAATCTCTATAAGCACTTAAGTAGTACGTTAAGTAATAGGCCTATAGTGTATATATTATATTAGTCTACTAGCCTAAAGCGTACTTTAACTACTTTATTATAGTATAACACTAATTACCTAACGTAAATAAAATTAAGGCACTTAACTATTATATTATATAGTAAATAAATAACCTTAACTATAGTCTATTATTTTACTTACTTAACCTTAAATTTATAAAGCTTTTTATCTTTATAAATAGATTATTTATAAATAATAAAGACTTTACTTTATAGCTAGGATTTATTATTATTCTTACTAATAAGGCACCTATAAGTACTACTATAGGTAATAGATTTACTATAACTAGTAATATTATTTACTTTAGCTTAATAAAGTATAAGTAAGTTACCTAAAGTATACTAGCCTTTAAGATCTATAGTATAGTTACTAGTACTAATATTACTTATACACTTAGTATAACTATTATAATAATTACTAACTGCCTTAAGCTACTATATATACTAATAATTCTCTATACTAACTTATACTTACTCTATAAGTACCTTATTAAGCTTAAGACTATAAAAAAGAAAAAGCTTATAATTAATATTATAGCCTTCTAGTAGTTATATAAGTAATATAAGGTCTATAAGGTATAATAAATATAAGGTAATAATAATCCTACTAATAGATTTACTAAATTATTACCTAACAAGGCGCTAGAATAACTAGTTAGAAACAGGATAGTTTAGATTAGTATAAAGGGATAAGTTTCTTAAGCTACGTAACAGATCACATAGACAAAAAGTATTAAATACTTTTAGGCTTTTAATTTTTATTACGTTTTTAAGCTTTTCAGCTGCTAGGCAGTATCTAGGCTATTTGTAGCGATTTTCCTTCACTTTAGAAAGTTACCAGTGTCAGGATATTCAACTGTTCAATAGTAGAGCCAATCCATAGTCACGTGATTTACTATCACATGACTCACCTTAGCAGCTCACTTACACCACCACAAATATCCGCAGCAACAACTTCTTCTTCTTTTTCAATCCATCTCAACAAGCAACTAGTAGTCAATCAAACTATTACTGCTTTACAATCGCGATCCCTGTGATACCAACAGGCTGACTTTTGAGCTTAGATGATCACGTGTACGAGAAGCAGACGCTGGCCAAGTTCTTTGCTTGGCTCGGAGACGGAGGCACGGTTCCCGGCACTTCAACGAAGCCGCAGGCTTCCTGGGTCGCGGATGTTCTCCTGGATCAGGCGAGCCCCAAGGTCTTCAGACTACAACCATCATCCACAAGGCCCCTCGGGATTCCCGCGGGAGGCGCGCCGCTTGACGATATCATGGCTTATGCCATCGCACGCTCCGATCCCATCAATGATCGACCGGGACAGGGGGGAATGCCGATTGACAGGACAACCAAGAACTTTGCTCTCGTCGAGAAAGAAGTCAACGAGTGCAAGGGGACATTTTTCGGTGAAGGCACCCCGAATGGCCTGACAACTATTGATCTGAGCGGCGCAAACAGGAACAGAGCATGGATTAGAAACGTAAGCGATGTCTCTTTCGCGAAAACAGAAATGAAAGATTGCTAACTCCCCGTGCTCGTAAAGCAAGCCGCCGTTTTCCAATACCTCAGATACACCCATCGCCCTCCCAGCACCAAGGAGAACGTCTGGGACAAGTGGATGCGCGTCTCCAACTGGATGGACCTGGTACTGGACGAGTTCGACCGAAACTATCCATGGGGGACGCACCCCGATGAGCCGAGGCGCTCCGGAGCCAACCCGTCGCTGCGGTCCTTCTACGCCTACTGGATCGACACGTACCTGGGTGGCATCGAGAGCAACGCGAAGGGCTGGGCACGCAGAGCCCAAGTGGAGTTCAGGCAACGGTACGGGAAAGAGAACGGCCAAGCCGCGACAAACTGGCTGAATGACGCTTTCCGCGCCAATGGGTTTGCGGACCAGGCGAGGATGGAGTTCCCCCGGCCCGCGGGGGCCGCGTCGGTGTTCGGGGCCTACGGGAACCCCGCCATGACTTTGGACAGGGACGGCACCGCGGTCAACCTTGGGGCGCCGGCGCCGCTGTGATATAGGTAAACGAGATTTGCCAGAGAGGCGTGTCGTTTTGGCATTGGGCGGCGTCGTTTAGTTTTGATCTTTGGTTTTTCTTTTCGGTTTCCGGCTTTGTATTCGGTCTGGGTGTTTGGCAATGGGCGGGTCTTTGCATTGGAGCGAGCAGGATGATTCTTTAGAGGTATTGTACAGTCTCGTCAAGCTGTCGCCAGTAACGAGCTAATCGGATGTAAGCTCCCCTAGTTATGCCTTTCAACAAGGTAACCCACGATGATCTGTTCTTTTTTCCTTTTTTATATATATATATTGGAGCAGGGCGGGGCAATCAGCCTGAAGTGAGATAGCGCATGAGCTGATCGGAAGATCTTCACCTCTGATCAAGAGCGAAGATATAAGCCAGCGACAATAGATTTAGAGATAGACATGCACATTTACACATTTATTCTTGGACCTACCTTTACCTGATTGAACTAAGACCCTTCTATAATCTACTACCAAACGTAATGACACAAGATGATCGGGAGTATTTACTCGTCTGATCAGGCGTGCAATTGTGGCCAATCGGGACACTTGGACCTTGTGATCAAGACCAAGTTATGGACCGATTGACGCAATATGTACACCGATCAGCAAGGAATCTTGTGTTGCTTTTGATGGTTGAGGTGTTCTGTATAGCCACCGCACCGCAAAAGTCCTATCATGCCCTACGCACTTGCAATATCATAGAGAATAACTATTACCCCTCCTATTCATTATTACTGCTTCGACCTAGGCTACTACCCCCGTGAAATTGACGCTGTCTTTTGTTTTGTGAAGAATAATACGCAGTTCTTGGTTGAATTTGGTATCCCTATCCCTCATTTCGCTCTTGTTGCTCGAGTTGCTGGATGACAAACCCGCCTAGGCCTCTCGTCGCCACTTCTCCAGGTCGTGGTATATTGTACCGTCTCCAACGTACGAGTCGTAGAACCACGCGATCGAGCTAGTGAAGTCCTGCAGCCTGTCGCCCAGATCCTTGCCTGAGAATCGCACAACTTCGTAGTCAGGTCCGCCGGGGCTATCGGCCGCAGCCTGGGGTTTCATGCTGAAAAAAACGGCAAGAAAAGTGCCGTCCTTGTCATCCGTCTCAGAGGGGCTCGCCTCTCCGGCGTCGGGATTTTCGATGACGACGATGCGGTGCTCCCACACGTCGTCGAAGGTCGGGGGGATGAAGAAGTCGGGCGCCCCGGAGGCGTTTCGGGCGGCGACCTCGGCGCGATGGTGTGCCGCGCACAGCGCCACGCGCTCGGCCTCGGGCGTACCGGCGGGGAGCGGGAGGCCGTGAACCTCAACGCGGTTAGATGCCCCACGCCTGTCACGGGCCTGACGCGTAGACTCCTCGACTTTAATTGCTGTAGCTCTGACGTGCTCGTGGTCGCTGGCTGCGGGTGTGGTGTCGTAGAGCTGGATGGACCACTTGGGTCGGTTGGATGCGTCCGGAGGCGTCTGAGTGTCCGGGTCCATTTCCGTCATCTCCCAGGCCGCGAAGCAGGGCATGCCGTCGTGGCTCGGGGCCTTTTCCACAACGGTACGGGGATACACTCTTCTTCCCATGGTGCTTTGTCAAAATTGCTTGCTGGTCTGGTGATATGAGGTGGTGATTGAGAAAAGAGGGATACCGCTCCGCTGAGGACAAATGCTTGGGGAACGGGAAATGGCACTATGTAAGCTGACTAAACTTTGAAGTGTTGACTGTCCTTTGGTTGGATCGGGTTGCATCGGATTGACTCAGCTTACAATTACGCTTAAGGCAACGACCCAAGAAAGTGTGGTTAGGATCGCGAGGGAAAAGTGTTGTCCGGCCGAGTAAGTTGGAACGAAAGTTGAGAGTCATAGCAACGACACTGTATGACAGGGTAGAGCTACATCTTGAAGGGGGAGGCGGTCGCCGCTATCGGGAGAGACAAGGCTCTTGAATAAGCTTGTAGCAATGACTGAATTATAACATGTCAATTCGCCATAAGCTTTTAAAGCCTAACCCTAGTTTTTCAATAACTCATGGCTTTCTCAAGCATATTAATCATCTCTTTGCGGGTAATTGGCGGTCATCCTGCTTCTTGACTTTACAACGCCCTCCTATGGCCGATTTTAATGTTGACATGAACACTAAGCTATTTCGTGGAAGAACACCAATATAAACGGAGCCATACATGTTGTTATTTGTGAGCTGGATTTCAGGTGGAACAATTCAAGTCTAATGCTCTCTTCTCTCTAATCTATTTTACTCATATACGCGTTCAAACCCAAGAAGCCAAATAATTAATTCTTAAATGATCCAAGACAAGTTGCACTAAAGCGCACTACCATGGACATCCTCATACCTCGCTTCATTCGGATGACACCGCAAACTTGCTCAGCGACCTCAGCCTGGCGCCGTAGAAGTAGAGCAGCCAGATCCCAATGATACCGATCGTGCTTAGCCCACCCAACAAGCTCGTGCCGCGCGCAACGCCCATGTTGAGGTACATCGGCCGCGCGAACAGGATGCTAGCGAACGCAAACGCCGAGCGGAAAAAGTCGTTGCCCGCAAATAGACTGGCGGCGTACTGGGGGTAAGAGAGCGGGACGTAGACGAAGATGCACTGCATAACGATGAAGACAGTAGCGCCGTACACGGTGATGCCAATGGTCGGGGCGATCCAGTGGATCGCCGGGGACGCCGTCCAAGCGAAGATGAAGAGCCCGATGGTAGGGCCGAAGGATGCCGGGAGGGCGGGCACGAGGCGGTTCTCCTGGGCCGGGAAGCCGTATTTCTTGATGCGCGGGATCATGTAGAAGGCCAGGTACGAGATGTACATGCCCACGCCAATGAGACAGGCGACGAGGATGCAAAGGAAGACGAGGCCGACTTGGCCGATGCTCATGCCGTAGTAGACCGGGTAGACCAGGGGGAACACCTCGAAGAAGGAGTAGTAGATGCCGTAGATGATGGCGGTGTATACCTGCACGAAGAGGATAGCGGGGTCCTTGATCGTGATCTCAAGCGGCTTGATCAATGCGTCGATGACGACGGCCGATGTTTTAAGATTGCGCTGGTCGATTTCGGACTGCGACATGAAGCGGTTGCTGCCTGTCAGCTTCCGGAGGCGCTCGGCACGGCGGAGGAGAATGTTGGGTGTCGAGGTCTCTGGGAGGAAGAGGAACATGACGAGGAAGACGGGCGCCGATGCCCAAAGAACCTCCCAAAGTGACCAGCGCCATCCCATGGCGGGAACAGAGAACCCGGACAAGACCGGAGAGATTGCGGGCCCGCAGTAGGCAGCAGAGACCCAGGCAATCAGAGCATAAGGAAGATTCAGCAAGCTATACATGTCTCCAAGGGATGCGGCACCCGATGCAAGGCAAGGGGATCCGAATAGGCCTTGCAGGAAGCGAAGGACCATCAATCCGGGGTAATTGTCAACCAATGGAGCCGGGATGGAAACGATGACGAAAAGGAGCATGGTGACAATGTAGATGGGATTCCGGCCGATGCGGGGAATCTCGGAGAGAGGAGAAAACAGCAACGGACCGATGCCGTAGCCCAGGACGAAAAGGGCCAGGCCCAACGAGGCTTCGGTCATGTCAACGCCGAATTCGTGGATGACACCCTCGATGGAAGGCATGTAGATGGCCGAGGACATGTAGACGACGAACGTGTAGATGCATATGATGACGGTGATGAGGCCACGCTTCGCGTTGGACCAGTTCTGTGGGTTATCGACGTCGTCGCTAAAGTACCAATCCACCAGGATGGCCCCATCCTTGGTCTTCTTTGGAACGATGGGTATGCTTTGCATCTTCTGGATCTCATGAATCTCATCGATTTCGAGCCGGTCCTGCGTGTAAGAAACCGACTCTTGTCTGCTCCGCGTCCGCTGGAGGGAGACCCCGTACGGGGACGCATCCTCGACCTCCTTCCGGGACAGCGTTTTTTCCTCGTTGATGCGGGTCGACTGGGAGGATCTTGGCGACGCCAGATCTGCGTCCTCGACCGCCAAGCCCTCCTTTTCCGAGTTAAGGACGTCAAGCCATGGCTGCGGGAGTTGGAAATCGGGCCTCTCCTCGGGGTATTGGAGGAACTTGTTGCGAGTGACAAAACGGATCAGTTGGCCTACCGGGGCCTCTCGAATTATCTGCGCCATGGGGATGGCGGACGATGGTGTGGCTTAGGGAACCGGTCTTGGGAGCTTCGAATTTGTATAGAGTCTGGTGTAGTGTAGGTAAAGTCTGTTTGAGCGTCTGATATGTGTGTCTCAAGACACCCATAGCCTTGCGGTATAGGATATGATGGTTGAGAAATAACTTGATGGTTTGGTAAGACAAGAGACAAACTCGAACCCGAAATACCCACCATCTATATAGTTATTTTAGCTTAACCATGGGCCAGAAGCACAATGGTGCTAGGAAGACTAATTGGTTGCATGCCTGGATGTTGATGACCGAGCACGACTCGAAGAATTGAGCCGTCCAGGGCATCGAGGCACAGGCCGGAGTTGCGGTGCGGCGCAATTCTTTACCTCCAGTATGTGTGGTATTACGAATCAAGCTCGGAGCCAAGCCACCAGATGTGCCGGGCCAGTACGGAACTTGCAGGTAGGGGGTGGGAAACATGCAAGCGGCGTAAATCTGCCCGCGGTGAGATCTGAGCGTGTCCCGATGGCATTGGTCCCTTTTCTCAACGGCAATCTGGACATAGGGCATGTCGTTTGATCAAAGTGACTGGATTGATAAGGGAGAAGACTGCTAGTGCTGACGTGACATATAGGCATCGCAATATGGCGTGCGAGTCCACGGCGAGTCCATGGCGAGTCCATGGCGTTGGGCCAACGATGCGAGGGAGCGCTCTTGCGCGCGTTTCCATGCATGATTAAGTCAAAGTGTTAGTATCAGGCCGCCCGTGAAGGCAGAACCTGGAGCGTGAGATAACAACCAGTACACGGCAAAGTATCACTAATCCTTTCCGGGCTTTTGTGGGATTTATCAGCGAAACCCGGCATCTCCATCTGCGCGCTGCTTTTCATTGGCTCGACTGGTGACAGGCTTGTGTGTTGTTGAGCCAAGCCTACTTCATCGTCATTCCATGGCCTAGTAACCTTATTAATCTTAAATTCAATCGATGCCAGGCTGCGCATCTGGTGCTTTAGCTTCGTTTCTTTTTCGGTAACCCAGGGGCTCGGACACGGTTTGAGTCGACCCCTTCACGGAGAGACCAGGGCCCTGGACACCACGTCAGCGTCACCCCCTACAGTGAATCAGTGTGCATGTCGATATTAACATCATGTTGGAACCGGCTTTCGGACCCAACAGTGCGGGCCTTTTTAGAAATACAGATCACGTCTCAATGCATCAGTATTGTATGTGCATACATTGGGATATGAGGCGTTGAGTGATTTGGGCCACAGGTGGTGCTGTACAACTATCGCGGTATATTCTGCACCGGGGTGCATTTTCCTTGGGTGAAACGGCATGCAGAACAAGCTCGGGCAAACTGTACTGCATGGCCTTTCCCAGTCTCATAACGTGGAATGCTGCCGCGGCTCTAGATCATCGCCTAAAGCGCGATCCTCTTGCGCCAATCCTGTGCTACGCTTGATTTCATCCGCGAAAGACGCCATCAGCTTCGCGATGCCAGATTGGACATCTATGTTCCGGCGCTCGGCCTGCTCGATCAACCACCAGACGCGCTCATCTTGCGCGTCGAGAGATTTCCTGATGACTGTGAGCAGCGTCCTTTTGGGAATCCATGCTTCCGTCTTGCTATGCGGTTCGCCATTGGCACCTTCAGGAGCCTGGCCATACAGCTCTATGCACTTATAGGCAAGATCGAGGTCACTGGATACGGCGTACTCGTAAATGGCCTTGCCAAAGGCATTCCGATCCGCCTTGAGAGCCAGCTCTGGGTTCTCCGCCACCAAACTTTTGAGAGACTCCATGTCGTCGCACGCCTGCAGGATGTATCGGATTGTGACATGGTTGGGAGTTGCCTCTGTGTACTTATGAGCGTTTTGGTAGATCTCCAAGGCTTTTGCATATCCATGGGTATCTACTGCAGCTTCAATGAGGACGTTGAGAGCTGCAATCGGGACCTTGTAACTGCGCACCAATTCCGTCAGGGTACTGAGCGCAGTGTCAATGCTCTCCGGGTGATTCTTGATCCAGCAGTATATCGAGCGCGTGCTAGCATACGGCGCAACGGAAATGGCCTTGAACATGATGCAGAGAACACGCAGAGCACTTGCTACGTCTCCTGAGCCGCCGTAGCATTCAATCAAGGCCTCGTAGTGATGCGCAAACAGCTTGCTACCCCTTTGGGTAATCAGGCGGGATGCGCTGGTAACAAGCTCGTAGTCGTACTGCCTCGTGGCCGTGTTGATGACATTGAGTAGTGTACCATCTGATAGATGCTCCCTGTCGGTATCCAGAAGCCTGCCCCATATGTACCTCGTGCCTTCGTAGTGATGCGTCTGAGCGCACGCGTCCAAGAGCATATACCACACTGTGAGACTTGTTTCGCTTCCAGCATGAACCTTGCTGTGTGCCAGCTTGATGGCTTCGTCAACGAATCCGTGTTGGGCAAACACGAATATGAAGATATCGTAAACCCACGAAGGGATAGATACGTGCTTGTCAATCATAGCCTCTAGTGCGTCAAGCGCCATTTCAAACTGTCCATCACGAAGTAGACCGAGGGCATTGTGGCTTTGTCCTTCGATGCTGATCTCAGCCCAGGACTGCTTCATGGCGGCAAGGATCTCGTTTCGGACCAAGTAGTCGGGATGTACGGCGAGTGTCTATAATGAAGTCAGTGCAAGGCCGACCTGCCGATCTTTCTGGGATAAGGCATACAGCCAATGCAGCATGGCATATTAAGGTGGTCGGCTTGAGCTGTAGCTGCTTCATCTCGGCGAACAACTGGGCCAGCATCGCTGCTGAACCCTGAACGTCGGCCGTCGCAACTACTAGATGCTCATACAGTTGGGAGTCCAGCTCAGCATTCCGAGACTGAACTAAGTGTGTGATGAAGGTTGTCACTTTCTGAAAAGTCTTTGGCTGGCCTTGCAAGACCTGTAAAGCCTCGTAAATGGCAGATAACGGCGCTGCTCGAAGCTGTTCGTTTGGATCGCCGGGTCCAGAGTCGGTCGAAGTGGCGCCGTGCCGTATTTCCCCAGCGGTCGCATTTCCTTCTACTGCCTCGCCATTCTCAAACGCTCTTGCATCGTCTTCCGAACGTAGTGTGGAAGACGTGGCTGTAGAGTATCGGCGACATTGTGGGCGGATAGCGTGCGTGTGGGAGGGCCGGACGGGTTGCCTTCGGTGGCCCGTTGCAATCGATGTTCGAGGTAGAATGGGGGAATTGAGCAGTCTAGCCGCTACATATGCATCAGTAGAAGGGCACAGGCAGCGCCATAAGCCATCAAATACAACCCGAGAGCCAGACATGGAGCTGACGATGCGAGTGGGTGGGCGCGAGGAGGAGCAAGAATCTGGGGGAGCTTCCAGCATGCAGATTTCGGGGGTGTTCTCACCCAGATGATCCCGGTCCGAGCAATCACGTGACATTGAACGAGATATGTCTGCCCAAGGCCAAGATCAGCATCCGGCAGATTCACATTGCAGATGACTGGGAAATGTATTGGCCTCTCACACGGCCGTAATTTTTATGTTCCAAGTACGTAAAATGACTCTGTTGGTTTGCATGCCTCCCGGGTACCGCCAGTAGTCGCTGGCTCTACTCTCCGAGGCCATCAGCCCCAGGATGACAGTCGCATGCCTAGTTTCTCTTGCGCAAGACTTCCAGATGAAGTCTGCATTCAAAGAGTATTCTCTCCATTGGCGTTGTGCATTGCCACCGTGGGCATCGGTCCGCCAGGTGCTGGCTTGTCGGAATCTTGTCGGAGATATCCTCATGGGCCACCACGGTTACCACGTCCCCGTCCTCCACGGCCCTGACCTCTGCCTCTGCCTCTATCGCCGCCGCGACCACTGTGGTCCCCTCTGTTTCCACCTCTACCGCCACGGAATCCTCCTTGCTGGTGGTTCGCCTGGTTCTCCTTAACCACGTCGATGATGTCGTCGGGGACTCGCAGGTACTTGATCTGGGGGCGCATCAGCACTGTGTTTGCCTGGGGAGGCGCAAGATGGGGAGGGAGGGGTTCGTATCGTACGTTGTTTCCTTTCACATAAACTTCGGGGATCTTGACGAACTTGTCGCCTTCCTGCATCATCGTCAGTCGAGAGGCACGGCATTGTAACATCGACGGGCGGCGCGTACCGGACTCGTCTGAACGACCTCCTTCAGGGTCAGATTCATCCAGGTATCGCACATGACCAGATGGCCGTTGAGGGTTTCACCGTTCTTCAGCTCCACGAGCATGGGGTGCCCTTGGGCGGCGTTCAAGAGGCCGAGGGGTAACTGCGGCGGTGGCGTTAGCTAGCTCGAGCAACGGATGAGGCACCGCATACACGCATCCGGGTCGCCAGATCGTTGGGACGCGGGGGGAGAGGCTGGGACGTACCATTTTGCAATTTGGGCTCCGAAGCTTGCCGTGGGAGAGAAGGCTGAGCTGGAGCTTGACGCGGGCAGTTTACGATTGACTATGCGACCGCCAGGGATTAAGTGGGGCAACTCGGTGAGCCCCAGGTGAGAAGCTTACGCCGGACTCGGGCACCGTCTGCAAGAACCACGGCATGACGTACATAGTTCCGTGGAGAGCAAACTGTCGGAATGCAAGTCATAAAAGGCAACTGTTCCAATTCCGTTTAACAACAAGTTTGGAACTGTCTGGAAAGTCCATTGCATATGCTATATGTTTTTGTCTTAATTCCTCGTTCGAGGGCATGCACCTGCCTGGCCTATCCTGCAACTACCACACACATTTCCAATAATATAGAAAACAACAGAAGAACTTGAAAGAAAAAGAAATAAAGGAAAAAAACACCATGAATTCTTGAAAAGGACCAAAAAATGACCAACGTGGGGCTCGAACCCACAACCTCCAGATTAGAAGTCTGAAGCGCTACCATTGCGCCAGTCGGCCGTATTCGATTGGATATCCAACTGTGTTGGACGGAATGCTAATCTGTACGTCTATGACCCATCCACAATTACCACAGGTCACGAAATGGACGTGAACACGACTCAAGGGACGACTAGAGCCTCCGCTCTCAGGTACAGCGTACTGCCCAGGTTGCCTCGTGTTAAATGCTCTCTTTGGTGGTTTGTTGCCCTCGACTTGAGTTGTGTGAGCTTTCAATCCGGCTGTTGACTTCCTCAAGCCTGATAATAGAATCGCCCCCAGTAATGAGGTGAATCAAGCGTTGGCCAGTGCGCGATGTAAGCTTTGCCTCGGTACATAAGAAACGGTTCACAGTTGTCAAAGAGTTACTCTGTTATGTCGGTTATTCAATCCCCTTATCAGGTCCCTCGGTGTCAATGGCACCGCTTCGCGGCATAACCAAGGACAAGAGAAGGGCTGTCATTTTTGACGCTAACAATCACATCAAAACCCAATTTTTAAAGCCGATCGGCTCCATAGAGAATTTACTCTACCAGCCATTATTTAGCTGAGCTTGCACGTTGTATTTCCACTGGAGCCGGAACAAAAAACCTTGGTGCCTGGCTAGCAAAACGTGGTGATAGTGGTGGAAATAGGCTAGCGGGTAGAATGGCGCAATTGACATATCCGATTACGATGATTGTTTGTACCGTCCAGAGGTTCATCCAACTGGTCTAAAACTGGGCAAATACCGTTCGGGGACCCGCTGACTATACCACCAGATCATCGGAGCCCCTGTTGATTGCAGTAAGGTCCGATTCCGGTTATAGAGGGGAGGCTATAATTGACTGAGATAGACTCCGTGGTCGCCTATCATAGCTAGTTTGCGCACAGCATACAAGAATCCCCTCTTTCTCACAGACCGATTGTAGTTATTTTGGCCCATCGGTTCTTGTGTCCAAACTTCTGACTCGGATTTTCGTGTTTCGACAAGACAAAACAATAATCATGCTCCCCATCCCTAGCTTATCATCGCTGGCAACGCTGGCACTTAGTGCCACCGCCGTTATTGCTCAAGACGTGCAGCAGCGCCAGCCCAATGTTGTTTTTATCCTAACAGATGACCAGGACCGGCAGCTGGGCTCTCTTGACTATATGCCCTATGTTCAGAAGCACTTTGTCAAAATATGCTGTCCGTCCCGTGTCAGCCTGCTAACGGGCCAGGCGGCGCACACCACCAACGTCACTAACATTGTTCGTCCTCACGGTACGCTGGGATGCATCAACATGTCCTGTCACTTGGAAGAGGGTGGACTCTAACGATGATACCAGGAGGTTACCCCAAGTTCGTGTCTCAGGGCTACAACGACAAGTATCTGCCTGTGTGGCTCCAAGACGCCGGCTACAATACCTACTACACCGGCAAGCTCTTTAACGCCCATGATACCGGCAACTGGAATAACCCTTTCCCCAAGGGGTGGACTGGCAGTGACTGTGGGTTATTATTAGTCGGGCCTCTGGAATGAATCATCGTTTGCTAATGCCTGTAATCTAGTCCTCCTGGACCCCAACACTTACCTGTATCTCAACGCGACGTTCCAGAGGAACCAAAGCCCATCTCAGACCTTCCCTGGCGAGTACAGCAACGACTTGGCCGCCGAAAGAGTGTTGGGTTTCTTAGATGATGCTTTCGGATTCAATGGCAGCAAGCCCTTCTTCCTCGGTGTTGCACCCATCGGTCCTCACAATAATGGCCTTGGCGGCGAAACAAGTCCAGGTGCCACACCCCCTATCCCGGCAAAGAGGCACGAGAACCTGTTCGCCAATGTCACTGTGCCTCGCACTTACAACTCCAACCCTGTCAAGGTGAGAATACTTAGGCCCATCTCCTCGGGTTCCAATAATGATGGCTAATGGGTCCACGGCCCAGTAGGGCCAACTGGGGCCTTATCATTTCTCAGTTGAATGCTACCGAGGTGGCCTACGGCGACATTTACTACCATCGCCGCCTCCAGGCGCTGCAGTCCGTCGACGAGATGGTCGATACCATCATCAACCGCCTCGACCGAGCAGGCATCCTTAACAACACATACGTTATATTCACGTCTGACAATGGCTTTCACACCGGCCAGCACCGCCTCAAGCCGGGAAAGACGTGCTCTATTGAGGAGGATATCAATGTGCCGTTCCTGATTCGTGGTCCCGGTGTGCCCAAGGGCAAAACGGTCGACTTCGTCACGGCCCACCCGGGGCCACACTGATATGGCTCCAACCATCTTTTCGCTTGCGAACATTACTCTGCGTGAGGATTTTGATGGACCTCCCATTCCCTTTTCTGAGAAAGACATCGAGAAGGCACAGAATGACCCCAAGCACGACCACGTCAACGTCGAGTTCTGGGGACTTCAGTCGGGTTATGACGCCTTCGGAGGCGGTAAGTAGGTTCGAGTCTGGAGTTGAAACGGTTCCACTAACAAAAGTCGTCTCTTCACAGTTGCCGCGAATAACACGTACAAGGCCATGCGTGTTCTGGGAGATGGATACAGCTTGTTCTACTCGGTCTGGTGCAGCAACGAGCGGGAGCTCTACGATATGAAAGTCAGTGCAGGCCCAGATCGGACGTCATTTGACTTCCTGACTAACCTCTGTTACAGAAGGACCCGGGCCAGATGGTCAACCTAGCTGGGAGCGCCTCCGGCCAGCTTCTTGAGCATCCGTTATCTGTCGTGCAAGATCGCCTCGACGCCCTCCTATTGGTTCTGAAGAGCTGCAAGGCAGAGACCTGCAGGCTTCCTTGGAAGCACATCCACCCCGAGGGCGGCGTCGACAACCTGCGCGATGCTCTTGACGTCAAGTACGATGAGTTCTACGCGGCACAGCACAAGGTCTCATTTTCCAGCTGCAAAGACTTTTACGATATCAGCGCCGAGGGTGCCCAGCATGCGCTGACCTTTTACGACCCGTGAGGGGGAGCTTATAGCACATTTTGATGATACACATGAATATTAAGTTTGTAGGAGGTACGCAGCAACAAACGGACTTCGGGACACCGGGGTTTCGGTGATTTCTGATGAGCTTTGAGATGGAGTTACTGGCGTAGCGCATGAATTTAGATTGTTGCACGATTCCCACGTGCGGTAAAACCTCTACTCTGGCACGTAAATAGGGTCCACCATAGACACCCTGAGCATCATGAACAACTGGTTAGCATGGCCCCGATTTCGAATGATAGTCAAAGTTATGGTCGATTATACTGCCTCATTCGAAACTTGGAATCGGTGTTCAACTTCTGATATGTGTGCCTAGACACAGTTCTGGTGCATTTTCGTTGTCCAATAACCTCGACCTTTGTCGAGAGGTGAAGAAGATGCATTTGTTACTGTGGACGATAAAGAGTGCAGGGCGCTATTACCATGCCACATGAAAATAAGGACAAAAGGGGTTCCCAGCCGAGCAGTCAAAAACAACAAAACTTCAGTCCGTCTCAATGTTCAGCTTAGATGCCAACCTTCCCCCGTACCACACCATACCGAAAATGCCAATGATATTGAGGTGGATACTCATGGCGTGGCTGAACGAAAAAAGTCTCTTGACAGCGTTCATGTCCGGGCTTGGCTCGTCAACAGCATCAGGCCGCTTTGCATCACGCGTTTCTGCTGTGCATTAGAGGGCGCCCTCATCATCTGACAACCCGGCTCCAGGCTCGGACTCAGAACTCACCTTGGTGAACCCGGTCAATCATGGCCTGTCTTGTCTTCGGCCCATAGATGAAGAGGTTGGCAACGGTTGTGAGACCAACGATTGCGAGTGGGGCCCAGTCGCGCTTCTCCAGGAGTAGGGATGATGGGCCGTATGGAGGGAATGTGATGGCGGTCAAAACCAAGAGAACCGCCTGGCAACGAAAGTAAACGGGGAAGAGACGTTTCTGCAATGTCGTAAAGGCGGACCTGGGAAGTTCGCTGTGGCAGCTCTTAGTATTGACAAATGTTTGGAAAAGAGAGGTTCCTAGCAAGGTCGCGTATGGGATGACGTGGCAGAAGGCAATGTTTGCCATGAATGCAGGCAGAGGGATACCCATGGTGATTGTGGCAGGAGAAATAGATGATGGATATCAAACTGGGTGAAGCGGTATTTTCAACAGGCAAATTCAAAAGTTCATATATGTAGATTTCTGAACCCTCGCGTCTCAGTGACCACATAGCGCGATGGGCCGAGGTAGTCCGCGTCAGTCATAAGCTCCGAGCACCTTCGGATAGAAGTGGTGCACTTGCAAAGCTCCGGCCGGAAAGTGCGGTTCGGGATCTGCCGGGCTGTGTCCGATTTTAGAGCGGCCGGAATTTGATGCATAATCCCACCATCAATGAGGGACACAGCGATAACTTTCAAGCCACATGTCCCAAGCTAGTCCGTCGCTCAGTAGTAGGTGAGTCCTACCATAGCTCATATCGTCCCGAATCTCCGAATGGACCCGGGGGCTAGCCATTTATGCGAGCGCTCCCCAAAGCTGCTCTCATAATGTCACGTAACCAAAAACGACGCTGTTAGTTATGGGCAGTAACTAACGCCTTATATCTCGTGACACTTAAGCACAAACAGGCCCTAGAAGAATTGGCAGTTGGGCTCTAGGGATTCGTTTCACTGGTTATTTCATTCCATGTCCTTTCTTTTCAAGATCCGTTGAATATCTTTCTTTCATTTAAGACTTATTGACATGGATTTCAGCTTGGCCAGGTACGCTTAGACGAGATACTTGTGCCTGGCTCCATATAAAAGCATGGTTGACAGTATTGAAAGCGTGAAAGGACTTGCAAAGATTTTGTGCATGTTACTTAAGGTCAAATATATGAATCTACTGCTATTAGCACTCTGTGTCTATTGGGAAATATTCAAGTGACAAGATCGGACGGAGCTGTAGCCTGTACCTTCAGTAACCTGGTTGGGAAGCGCCCATCGCGTCTGAACCGACCACAACATACATATCAAGAAGTTGGCAATATCCACTGGCCCATTTTATACATTTGTGCATTGCTTTCGCTTCACAGTTTACAATCATTACCAGTCACATTGTGTCTTAGTCAAGTAAATCTGGTCTTTAGGCGACCACTGGTTAAATATCTCTAAACTAGCAACTCGTAGCCATAACCTCCCTTGACTGCTTTTCAATTCGTCATTCACATGGCGGTTCAATAATTAATGAGCAATAGCCGGGCCACTGATGACCTTCCCAACGTTTTTCACTCCAAACGTGCTGGCCACCACGCCGACACTTGCAAGGCCAACGCAGCACCACAGCCCAGTGTTGAACTGCTGCAGCTGGCTATGGCCTTTGCTTATGTCCACGGCCTGAACAATGGCACTCGCTAGTGCGAGGCCGACGCCGCTACCGATTTGGAACGCCGTGTTGATCATGCCACCGCAAAGACTCTTGACGTTGACAGGTAGCGAGGCCAGGAGCACAACGGTTATGGTGCAGTAGACAATAGTAGTACCCGCGACGCCCATCACGGTGGTCGGGAAGACGTGCTTCCAGAAGTTGAGGTCGTCCTGCTTCATGAGCGCCGAAGGGATGGGCGCGATTGCGCAGATGGTCATACCCAAGATGAGGAGGTACTTAGTGTTGAAGACCTCGAGCATGCGTGACATGGAGAGACTGAAGATAAAGCCTGTCGCTCCCATGGGAAGGAAACGAAGAGCTGTTTCGCCGGCACTCAACTTGTTGACTTCTTGAGCGATGAGGGTCGTGTAATAGACCGTCGTCTGGTACCCGCCGTACATGACTACATGTAGTCATGGAGTCAATAGCCTGTTGTGTTCCTGATGGGGTTTGATCAACTTACCAAAGCCACCGATCCAGAGAGCGGCAAAGTTTTGTAGTTTCCAGAGAGAAAGTGGCATGATGGGGTTCGAAACCTTCTTCTCGACGTAGGTAAAGGCAACAATCAAGGCGATGCTAAGAACAAGCAAGACAATGATGAAAGCCTTGCCCCAGCCGTACTCGCCACCGCTCGAAAGAACAAAGCTGAGCAAGATCAGCCCAGCCGTCGACAGACCAGCGCCGACAAAGTCCAGCTTGGGCTTCGAGTTACCCTCGATTCTGTCCTTTGGAAGGAAGATCCAGCCAATGGCGCCAAGGGCGCCGCTCACAGCGGTAGGAATGTAGAATATGTATCGCCAGCCGAGCGAGGAAGTCAAGAACCCGCCAAATATGAGACCGAGGCAGAAGCCGACAGCACCGGCGGCGCCAAAGATGGTCAGACCAAGCGTTCGGTCCCCCGTGACGAAGTAGTTGCTGATGATACCGACGGCCGAAGGGACCGTCATCGCGGCGCCGATGCCTTGCAGAGCTCGGAAGATGGCCAGCTGGATGAAGGAGGTCGCGAAGCCGTTGGCGACCGTCCATACGCTGAGCGTCGCCATACCGGAGCAGAAGATGAGCTTGCGACCGAACCGATCGGCAAGCACGCCAGCGAGCAGGAGGAAGCCACCAAACGTCAGAGTGTAGGCCGAGATCAGCCACTGCAACTCCCCGTTTTTGACCTCGAAGTCTTTCTGAATGGCGGGCAGAGCAATGTTGACGCCCGTCATAAAGACGTTATCGATGAGCTGTGCGCCGCAAGTACAAAGGAGCACAATGGCTCCACGAAAAGAAGCGATGGTGCCAATGTCGGGGTAGGCCTGACCTGTGCCAGTCTCGTACTCGACGGGCAACTGTGGACCGGAGACCAGACCGGAGACAGGAGATGGAGGGCGTGTGGACTGGGGGGTTGTGAACTCGGAGGGCACCTCCCGGATCGTGCTTACGGGACCTGGCTTCGCGGCCCTCGGGAAGGAGGGCAGCTCGAAGACGTTGTCGTGGGATTCGCGCCTCTCCCGAGATCGTTGCTTGCTCACCGCCGAGGTGTTGCGAACAAGCTCTTCCAGATCATCCGCATCATCATTCTCCAACATTACTCGTGAGCTCTGAGAGACTGTGCTCACGCGTCGGGTAACGGGGATGCCGGGGTACCCAGGGGGAGGGACGAAAGTTGGAACCTCCTCTAGCGCCGAGGCGCGACGGCTGAGAGACTCGCGATCCATGTCCACTGAGATGGGACGGTCGTAGGACGACTTCTCGCGGGCCATCTTCGGTCTTTGAGTGCAGATTTTGGCTGTAGTATGGGAAACACCAAAAGATAATGCAGAAGTGTGTTAACCCCAGGCAACAGTAGCGGAATTCATCAGCGTCCTGAGAAGCTAGAGGTTTACGTCGGCCGGTTCACGGTGTAAAGGTTTACGGTGGAGATAGACTCACTGCACGAGAAGTTGCGGTGATGTCAACTTAATAAACGTTCCCTTGGTTGGGCAAGTTTTGCCACACGACAGACTTTGGTCTAACCTGAGGGGATTCACATGGGAATCACTTCTGTGATGACCCACAGGGGGTTCCACAATAGCTGCGCGCCAACCCTACACAACAGGCAATAATAGTTATCTGTTCTGATTCAAATGCCGTCCTGGAATTCAGGGTTTTGTCTACTCTCTCTGTAACGGTGGCCGTTCTTGGTGCCTGATGAGACAACTTGGATGGGACGGGAAGATTCCGTCTCCAGCGAGCCCGTCATCGGAGCCCCCACTCGTAAGACCTGTACAGGGATTCAGACCCTTATGGCATCGGGCTCACGCTATCTTTCTCTTCGGCATCCAGTTCCCGTTGCCATCACCCTGTTCTGCCCAACCAGTCCCTCAACCCCCCTCTGGGTCTTCCGGGTTCACCGTCTTTACTATGTACCTGCAGTCCTCGGCGCCCTCTCTTCAGCCGCCACGTCTTGGGTGACTACTACTACCGCCCTGCCATGCACTGCAAGGAGAATCGCACCCTTATCACCGGCTAATACCATGCTCTCGGCCAACGGTGCATACCACGCTCAAGTTGTACATGTGTCAACTTTAAAGTTGACCCTTCACATGTTTGCAACAGAGAGTTTGGCAGCTGCCAGTCCGCCAAGTGCCAAAATGCTTTCCGCACTTCGCAACTCAACAACAGTGAAAACGACTCCCAACTTTTGCCGGAACCAGTTACGCAGCTCCACCGTAACCAACGAATCCGTCTGCAGAGGCAAAGACAGGTTGACTTCCGCGTCCTGCCGCATCATGAACCCCCTCAATGCGCCGCCGATTTCTTTGGCCAAAAACTGTTTGGCTTCGTCAGATGACAGTTTCCCTGGGTCTGATGCACAACCCTGGATGAACTCCCTCAGGGAACTGCCCGTCTCGTGCTCATCATGAGCCTGGCCGTTGGTAGAGGCTGCACTCGTTAGAAAAAGAGTGCGTGGATCTCTCTGCCACCCAGTTCTGTTCGTCGAAGCAGACGACCGCATGCCGATAGCGAGTTGACTTGGATTAATGTACCCTCGAGCCAGGCCATTGCCTTGTTCGAACCCGATATCAAGACGACCGTTGGAGCGCTGGATCATCAATTCCATGGCGTCGAGCAAGTCTTGCTCGTGGAGGCAATGCTGCGACAGTTTGCGAAGTGCTTCCAGGCGGCTGGTTTCCCTTGCAAGAACGCCAATGTCTTCCATGATTCCGATGTCGAGAACAGAACATGGAAGACCCTGAGAATGACGATATTGCACAAAAGCATCCAAGAAAGCATTGCCGGCGGCGTAGTTGGCCTGGCCGATTTGACCCCCGAGTCCAGATAGGGAACTGAAGAGAAAGAAGAAGTCGAGTGGTTCGTTTTGCGCCTGGAGAGCATAATGAAGATTCCATGTTCCCTGTACCTTCGGCGAAACAGTGGCTTGCCATTCCTCGAAAGTCATATCGGCGAGGTTCGTGTCCTGAGGCCGATGAGCATTAGATATCACGAAGTCAGTGACTGGGAACTCACATGAAGAACCATCGCTGCGTTCAAGACGCCAGCGACTGGACTTGACACGGAGTCCATCATCCTGACCACATCGGCCATCTTGTCAACGCTACCAGAGATCGCTTGAACCCTGCAGCCTAGATACTCTAGTTCCATGAAGTACTGTGGCTGGTTTTTGGAGGCTTCTTCGGCCGACCTCGAGAAGAATATCAGGTTGCGAGCCCCCCTCTCGACAAGAAAGCGACCAGTGGCTTGGCCTAGGCCTCCAGCACCACCGACAATGATGTAAGTTCTGTCATGCCGGAGAGAAATCTTTGAGCGTAAAGGGAGTGCTTGAAGCTCCCCGCTGCTGCGAGGCATCCTTACAACAACCCGTCCAACGTGTTTGTCGGATTGAAGGTGTTGAAATGCCAGAGCCACATCAGAAGCTTTGAATGTTAGAATTTCCGGGGCTGGGTTGTTCAAGCCAAACTTGTTAAGTGTGAACGCTTGTTCCAGGAGCCTATTCGTATATCGGTCAGTGACCTGATAGTCACACAACACGTTGCCACAGGAAGATGAGGCACTAACCTGATGCATTCTCGCGGACGATTAATCCTCAGATCTTCAAAGTCTACGCTGACGAAAGTCCGATTGCAGCTTGAACGGTCCATCCGTAGATGACTTCCACTGTGGGCTCTGTGTTGGACGACGTGTACCAATGTCCCAAGTGGTGAAAGGCAGTCCCAGGACTCTTGTAAAAATTCAGGTAGAGTGTTGAACACAACGTCAACCCCAGCCGTCAACTGCAAAACTTCGTGCGAGAAGGAAGCGTCTCCGCAGCTGAATATGCGGGTTTTAGGAATCTCATACGAACTCATGAGGTATTTGGCCTGTTCCGAAGTCCGGACTGTACAAAAAATCTTCAAGAAAGGTTCAGTCTGCCGCAATCCCGAATGAACCGGTTGGGGGATAGTTACCTCGGCACCAATCAATCTAGCCACATTGATTGCGGCAGCCCCGAGGGCATCGGAAGCTGAATGAATCAATACGGACTAAGAGGTCAGTAAAGATATAGATATGAATGACGAGGGAAACCTACTTGGCCCTTTTTCAGTTTCCCCAATTCCATTAGTCCATGTAGAACTAGGCCGAAAGAGTATGGCGTTGATGCAGCTTCCTCAAAACCCATGGTAGCAGGAATCTCTGCGCATAGAGATTCGGACAATATGATGGAGGTTGATAGAGCACTGTCATGGTTAAAGGCAACTCGATCACCAATGCGAAATTTGCGGGCATCAGGCCCCACGCCTGTAACAATACCACTGCCCTCGAGTCCAAACTTGCTAGAAAGACCGGCTTCGCTTGACACATCACTTAGCGAAGCATGTAGGTCCTGAAGTGTGATGTTAGAATGTGCTTCAAAGCACTTGGATATTAATAACACAACCATACCTTGGTATCAACCCCAGCGGCTCGCACCTCAATTCGAAGGTTGTCTCTATCCAATCCTACACCTTCGGTTTCTTCCCATCTCAATGTCTGCAAAGATCCGACATTGACGATGTTTAGAGTTTTCGGGGCGTTGTCGCATCGTTCCCTCAGGTTATCCATAACCTTGGTGGAGTGAAACCGACAGATCTGGATTGATCCGTTGGAGAAGACGTACTCGGAATCCGAATCAACCTCACCTCCACGGAAGCGCCCTCCGAAAGATTTGAGTACAGTGACCACAGCATCCCACCCATGGACGTTGAAGAACTCCAGTTCCAGTGTGGCTAAGTCCATTGCCAGCTCTCTTCGCACGCTACGAGCGGCACCCAGTGTTAGAGAGTAGTTCGGGTCTTTGCAGTGCATCTGAGAGGCACCCGTAACCCAGAGCATCTTCTCGTCTTGTGCTGAGAACAAAGACTTCTTTAGCTCGTTCCACTGCGCAGGACCCATGTTGTGAAGGAAGGGTGACTCAAGATCCAGCAGACACAAGATGGGTTGGCCCCGAGGAAGCCTGTGTCCAGGGGGGAAATATTGTAGAGAAATCCCCCGCGACTGTAAGAACATTGTAGCGCTAGAAACAATGGGGTGGCTTGAATCTTGGCATACGACACTTGCTCTCACAGGCTTTGAGTAATATTGACAAGGTTGGGCCACAGTAATTCTGCCACCCTCTCCGGTAAATGTAGCTGACGAAGCGTCGTCAAAACCGGCAAGTCTCAACTGTTCTCGCAAGGCCTCCGGCTGTAATGGTGACTCACTACCGAGGTTGATCTCCGGAACAAGACCAAAGGCGAGCTGAAGAACCTTGGATGCGGGATTCGGGCGCTGAAGAATTAAGTAGCCGCGAGGCTTCAGAAGCCTTCGCATGTTAATTATGGAGTCTGGTGAGAAGGAGGCTGTGGATTGTTGAGAGATGATGAGATCGAATGATTCTTCGGCGAAGCCCTGAGGAATAGGATCTTCTTCTATCGCCAGCTTTTTGTATTTGACTGCTGATGACGATTCGCACCGTCTCTCGATAAAGTTTGTTGGCTTTATGGAGACACCAGTATAGGTATAGGTACCATAGGTACGCTCGCCGTCCGGAGATAAAAAGACCGATGATATGTCGGTAGACTCTGCCGCGGGATGAATGTGTAAGATGCTCATGTTCGGATTCTTGTGTCCTAGAAGTTGAAGGAGATTGGAAAAGTCTACATCGTCAATGAACCTAAGGAAACCGGTGAGATGCTCAGGCTGCGCTAGTGTCTTGACTGCGTGCGAGGAGCCTGAAAAGCAACCTGCACCATAGATATGAACCCGATAGACTGCGTGAGCGATATCGAAGAAGATAGTGCCCCTACAAAATTCGAGCATCTTGACTATGAATGCATGTCGAACTTTGTGGCTCATTGTCGCGATTTCAAGTGAATTAATAACTCCAGGGTATTGTCCAGTCATAGCCTCCCTGTATGAGGCGTCAAGCCAATGTTTAAACTTGACTAAATGGGGTTGTGTAGCAGGGAGAAACTGGATCTGAGCCCTGAGATCAACGATACAGGCCAGCACCATTCTATCTAGGACATGGGAGTCCACATCCGTCTGTTGCTGGTGCAACAATTGCGAGGGGCTGACGAAGTTGATATCGGGTTTCCATTCGAGGACGGCGCCGGCGTGGGGGTCCTCCTCGTTGCTGTGACTATTCTCGAGGGCTCTGACTTGCAACCCAGAGATTTCAATGACGACCTGCCTCTCGGAGACGCCGACGACCTTGGATAGAGGAACAGCCTCGGGTAGACTCTCAGCGCTGGCGATGACCTGAATTGGGCCCGTAGTTTTTCTGACGAACATTTCCTGGAGGTAAATTGGCACAACCAACTGCCTGAAGTTTCTTTCAAGACCTTTGCAGCTGGCGACCATGGCCACATGCATGCTCGTATCCAAAGTTGCCGGGTGGACAGAATATACTGCACTGCTGTAACCAGAATGCATATCATCGAGCGTTGCAACGGCTTTAGGCTCAGTGACGTGCGAGGTGATGCCAGAAAGCCCGCGGAAGCTGCTGCCATAGTTCAGACCAAATCTCTTCCAGGTGTTGTAGAACGAAGATGCCGAGACTTGGCGCGGTAGGGTAGACATTTGCGGAGGGAGGCGCTTCTTGCCCGAGCCTGCTCTGCATTGGCCGGAAACATGTTTCACCCAGCGTTCGTTTTCTTCACCGAGCGAAGATATTGAAAAGTCGTACCAAGTATGTTGGTCTGAGTTACTCGATTTCGCCGGGTGGAGGACCGTCACCAGCTCAACTGGCCGATCATCGAGCACCAGAACGGCTTCGAACGACACATGACTGAGAGTGAACTCGCCAGAGCCTGTGAGCTGCCTCAAAGCCTCTCCAATCATTGAAATGAACCCCGAAGCAGGGAAAATGGTCTGATCTCTCACGACATGGTCCCCTAACCACGAGACGTCATCGAGACGCAGATTGCATCTCCAAGAAGGGAGCGCGTCCGAGATCTCTTCAACTCGGGAGCCAAGAAGTTCGTGATGAGGGAACTTTCTGAAACGCCAACTGCGAGAAAGCCTACTCTCGAGCCAATACTCCTTGTCATAGTGCCAAGGGTACGTCGGAAGGTCGGTCAGAAACTGGCCTGGAGGGTTCACTATAGCAATATCGATGGTCGTGCCAGCTAGCCAGAGCTCCCCTGCTGTCTTTAGAAGAGCCGGCATTGCGTCTTGGCTGCGCATCAACGTCGGTATATACTGAGCCGTTCTATTCTTGAACTGCAGAATCTGACGAATCGGCCCAGCGAGAGCGGAATGTGGGCCGATTTCGACGAAAACTGGTGACGTGAAATCGTCCAGGACCGATTGTACTGCCGTGCTGAACAGAACGGGAGACAAGACGTTATTTACCCAGTATGAGTGGGACATGTCTGTGTTCTTGACCCCAGTTACAGAGGAGTAAAACGGGACGCATGGCTTCTTGTTCTGTAATAACCCTTCCAAGCGTGCTGTGAAATCCTCTGCTGCGGTTTTCATGTGATCTACGAGTTGTTATTATTTGAGAGTTTGGCATGGGGTAAGAGGAGTCGAGCTCACGGGAATGATAACCACACTCGACCCGGAGGGCTCGCGCTAGCACTTCCGGGTTCTTCAGCCGAATATTGTGTAGGACGTCTTGTAAAACGTCGCTCTCACCTGACAGGGTCACGTTGGAAGGAGAATTTTCGCACCCTACAATGACTCCCGGCCGTAGAAACTTCTCGGCCTGGTGTCGGCCAAGGCCAACGGCAGCCATGCTGCCATTGTGCACAGCTTTGATGAGGCGGGTGATTTGACCTCGGTGATATGCGATGAGTATGGCCTCTTCGGCCGTGATGGCACCACTTGCATAAGCGGCAGCGGTTTCACCCGAAGAGTGCCCAACTACCGCACTTGGAACAACCCCCCATGATCGAAGCAAGTCGACAAGAGCGACTTGTATGGCGAGAAGACATGGCTGGGAGAACTCAGCCTCGGAGAGGCGACTCTCGTCTTCCGAGGCTACAAGCAGTCCTATAGGGTTGTCAACGCAATATCCGATTATGTTGGTTCAGGGAGGCCCATTGTACCTTTTATCGTCCAAGACGGAGGTTCGGATAGCCCAGCAAGGATTTTATCAAGACTGTCGATCCGTTCTCCGAACAGGGGCTCTTGTTCGATAAGTTCTTTTCCCATCTGCGCCCATTGGGCTCCTTGGCCCGTGAATACCCAAACTACATCGGGAGTTGAGCACTTTCTTTTGATAACTGGAGAAATCTGCAGTGCACTGCTACCATCAGTCACACAGAATGCGCGATATGTGTGGATCTCGCGGCGCGCAGCCAGTGAATATGCAACGTTGTTCAGACTCCCTGATGACTGGTTCAGGTAATTCTCAACCTTGTTTGTCAGGCTTTTGACAGAGTCAGGGTGTTTGGCCGAGAAAGCGAGCAAGCGGTGATAGGGAGTCTCTGGGTTTGATTTGTTGAGAATCCTGATCGAAGGCAGACCAAAGCATGTGGTAGATTCAAGCAAGACCTGGTAGAGAATTAGCGCTGTAAGACAAACCCTGACGTCAACACTCACATGAGCATTGGAACCGCCAATTCCAAAGCCGTTGACCGAAACTCTTTCACATCTGTCGGTTGGCCAGGGCAGAGGCTCTGTCGGAACTTTCAGCCTGGCGGTTTCCCATGGAACTAGATTCATAATCAGTACTTTGTGAGCAAAAACAGATAGCACGCTATTAATGGCTCACTTCTTGGATTGGGTGTTTTGAAGTTGATATTTGGTGGAATAGTTGAGTTTTCCAATGCCAGCACCATCTTGATGACACTTGACAGGCCTGCAGCCCCTTCACCATGCCCAATGTTTGGTTTCACCTGACACTTGGTGTTAGTTTTGGTCAAAGAAGTTGCACATCATTACAGCGGCGCGTACCGATCCGATATAAATACCATTCTCGCCCCAGATGTTGGCAACAGCACTCACTTCCAAAGGATCCCCTACCTATGACAGAACTCTCCGTTAGCACCACAAGACACTAGGAATTTCCATTCATGTACTGTGACTTACAGGTGTTCCAGTGCCGTGGCATTCTACCATCGCAGTTTTCGACAAATCTGTGACGCCAGCCAACCTGTGGCCCCTCCTCATCAGCCGTTCATGGATCTCGGGGTTCGGTGTCGTCAGCCCAAGGGTTCGACCATTTCCGGCGGTGCAAGTGGAGCGAATCACAGAGCGGATCGGATCGCCGTCTCTCACTGCATCAGATAACCTTTTGATATAAATTGCAGATACTCCTTCGCCCCTTGCAAACCCGTCGGCATCTGCATCAAAGCTTTTGCAAGATCCCGAAGGTGATAGGACTCCGTTTTGATGCATGGAGGCAGTCTCTTTAGGCGTAAGGATGAGGTTGACACCCCCGACAAGGGCAGAGGAGCAGTCGCCACTATGCAGATCTTGACAGGCTTGATGGAGTGCGACTAGAGATGCGGAGCAAGCAGTCCGCACAACAACGCTTCTTCGCCTTAGTTAATAATGGTAGAAAGCAGAAAGAAAACATACCTTGGGCCTGTCAGATCGAACTCGTAAGATGCTCTGTTAGCCAGGATGTAGTCACCAAACACGTCCGGTCGGATAGCGTTCAGGTTCCGCTCGTCGCGGGACTCGAGTGTGGTCCAGTCCTCCCCCATGGTACCAACATATACCCCAACATCATTGCCTTTCCATGATTTTGAGCCGGAATTCTCCAAAGCTTCGTAAGCCACCTCGAGAAACAAGCGTTGCCGCGGATCCATGAGCTCGGCCTCTTGTTTTGTGAACGACCAAAAGCTTGGGTCGACGTGTGCCAGGTTCAACTCTTCGAGAAAGTATCCAAACTTGGTTGGAACGTGGGACACTCTTCCTGGCCCATACCAGTTGTTGACGTTGTAGCGGCTTTTGGGTACGGGGCAGCGACCGCTGTTGCCCTTGACAAGAAGGTCCCAGTAGTCGGTGGCGTTATGGACGTGGCCCGGAAGCCGCATTCCCATGCCGATGATGGCAATAGGCTCGTATAAGTCCGAGTGATGACCTTTGCCATCGCAAGCACTGTATATGTCGTGAGTGGTATCGTTATACATTATGACTGACGGTGGGGTTATCTCTGAACTTGTTCGAGTTCTATTTAGACTTATAAACCAGTTCGAGCTAATACTTGCTGTGGAAGCAGTGGTTCGGGTTTGCGAGCCATATCGAACTTATTTAAAGGTTGGCAGGTTGCTGCCTTGTAAACAGTCCAAATTCAACGTACTCACTCGTGACTACTGTGAACGGAGGTGGAAGAGCCAGAGGTTCCCTGTCGTTCCGCGAGTGTCTAGATAGACGCACTGCAGCTGGCACCTAGACCGTGGTGTTCATATCAAATTAGATTGCAGTTAGACCGTCTGCTATCAGCTGCATGATACCGCACCTAAAACGGCCCTCCAAGACAGCAGGTAAACCCAGCCGCCACGCCCAGAAAAGAATTTCCTGTAGGTAACAGCGCGATGTCGCGATGAATCAATGGGCTTTACTGTATCGAGCTCGAAATCCGGTGGCTGAGGTAAGACGGAGGGGGGCTCGGACGTGTATGGGTGGATTCTCGGTAAGTTCAAGGTGTTTGCCCAGAACCCAGCTGAACACCCAAGGCATTCTCGCTGGTCAGCCGAGAACACGATTTGCATGTTCATACTTGGTCCTAGTGCCATAAGGTGCATCAGTTCATTGCCAGAGCCAGTGAAACCATGCATCTAGTGACCCGATTTGGCATGACTGCCTATACATATGGAAGGATCCGTAGGATTCAGGGCCTTACGGCGCAGCAGCTTGTTTGTTGTCTCCCCCACACACACCAATCGCCTGCATACTAGGACACTTGAATTCTACTCGTCAACCAGCATTGTCACATCCTTAACGCTACATTAGCGATTTTAGAGACTGGAGATGCACAGCTGGAAATGGAAAAAGGGCCGATTCCCGCCGGCGCGAAGGTGATGTATGTGCGGCTTAATCTGTTGGACGGTTGGACGACTTGTTTAGACACCACAAGTAGAGTTTCACGCCTCCTCAATCGTACATTCTCTTCTCTCCAAATCAGCAATGCTTCGTATCCAACCAACGAAAGGCCTTGGCTGGGGGCTTGGGTTTCGATAGAACATCATCACGATCGACGGGGGTTGTTGAGCAGCCACAAATCGACAGCGGCTGCTCCCTCCCGCATCCGTCTCGGAACCAACGGTGCAACATTGCGAGAGGATTCAAATTCAATAAGATCTCTGGCTCCACCGTGGCTCTCATCATCCCTCCCGCCTCAAAATCCAATCACTCAACTTTCTTGGACGTGTACTGATGGCTCATCTCACTCCGGACCCAGTGCTGCTTCATGCACGTTTACGGCCGACCGGTTTGGCCTGCATCGACCTGGCAACCAACCGCAGATGGACGTATTTGGAACTCGATGCCGACATTCAGCGCGCGGCCTCCGTATTGTGCGGACAAGGGGTTCAGACCGGCGATAGAGTGGCGACCATCTCAGCCAACAGCGTCCATCAGATCATTTTACAGCAAGCACTCATGAGGCTGGGAGCAATCTTCGTTCCACTCAACTGGCGTCTTGCTCAAGCCGAACTCACAAAGCTGTTGGTGGATTGCGCCCCGGCCATTCTCTTCACGGATCTTGTCCCGCCAGAACTGCCTCTCGGCTGCCAGCACATTGGCTTTTCAAATTTGTTTGCAGCTGTGGATGCTGCAGAACAAGCGCCTCGCTTGGATGCAAGGCCCGCGGACGAGACGTGCGTTGTTCTCTACACGTCGGGGACGTCCGGGGCACCCAAAGGTGTCATGTTGAACGCCCGGTGTATCTTGGCAACGACAATCAACTTCAGCATTCTGGCAGAGGTCGACACCGGGAGCGTCTTCCTCTGCGACGGGCCCATGTTCCATTTCATGGGTCTTATTGCTCAGATCTGGCCACCTCTAATGCGAGGCGGTACAATCGTTGTGTCTCCCAAGTTCAATGCCGACCTTACCAATGCTCGTCTTGGCGATGCATGTCTGCAAGTTACGCATTACTTTTGCGTACCTCAAATGGCCGAGGCCCTTGCCCGCGCACCCAATTTCAACACGACAGAGTGGCTCACTCTCAAGGCGCTTTTTACGGGCGGAGCCCCCAACCCCCCAGCTCGTATCAAATGGTGGCTGAGCCGTGGAATCCGCATGGTCGATGGGTACGGTTCGACCGAAGTGGGCACAGTCTCTGGCATGCCACACTGCCCAGAGCTCATCGACGTCAAGGCGGGCTCTGTGGGCCTCCCGGGCCCGTTGACGGCAGTCCGGGTGGTAGACGAACGGGACAAGGATGTTCCAGTCGGTGCACCGGGGGAGATCATTGTGTCTGGTCCGAGCGTCACTCCGGGGTATTGGAATCGGCCAGAAGAGAACCTTGCCGCTTTCACGGGAGACGGGTGGTTCCGCACTGGTGACATCGGGCGGGTCGACGAGGACGGGTACGTCTTTTTGATTGACAGACGTAAAAACATGTTCATCTCGGGGGGAGAAAACGTGTACCCTGCCGAAGTCGAGGCCGCGATGGCTGAGCACCCTGGCGTGGTCGGTGTTGCAGTTATCGGTGTGCCGGATCAGCTCTGGGGCGAAGCCGGGCGCGCATTCATAATTGCGGCGCCCGGCACTCAGCTTACCCATGAAGACATGATTGAACATTGCCGTTCACGAATTGCCCGGTATAAGGTGCCAAGAGAGATTATTCTTGTTGAACAATTCCCTCGAACAGGGTCGGGCAAGGTTCAAAAGCATCTTCTGACAGAGGACTCTGTAGCAAGATTGTAGCAGGCTCGTCAGATAGAAAAGTACGATACCGGTAATAGAATGCAACCACTCTCTCTCTACCAATTGAATCTGAAGAGGGAAAGGAAAAAGTATCCTTCAGGCAGCAAGTATAACTGGGATGTGTCATACAAAAGAAAGGAAAAGAGAATACAAAAGAAAAAAAGGAAATCTGTGCGAACTAAAAAGTTGTGCGCCGAGGGGGAATCGAACCCCCGGCTCCCCGACGCTGCTAGATGGCAACGGAGAATTTTACCACTAAACCATCGGCGCAGATATAACTCGTGGATGTGTTCATCGTGTACATTGGACGGCTTACGTTACATTCCAGCTGTGCTATCATCCTGAATGCAAGTGTGCTTTCAATAGGTTACGACGAGGATCTCGTAGGAGGAATAGGAAGAAGTTGAGGGCGTTCTAGATCTACCAATGGACATGGATTTAGGTCACATTAGCTAGTCCGCCGCGGAGTACCAATCAATTCCAAGGTGTGGTTCGGCAAGCGCGGGTGTACATCTTGGGTCCGTTGCCGAGTAGGATTCAAACGTCTGCCTGACATCGCCGATGCGCACCATGCGCAATTCAGGTACGTGCCAGCCGTCAGCTTTCTATTCTGAGCAGCCAATGAATCGGCCTAGCCAACTGCGGAACTCCCAAGAACCAATAACTCTCTGCGTATCCCATATAAGCCCTATTCAGTCTCAAACAAGCGCTTAATTATGTATCAAATAGCGCGGCCAGCCATCACACTAATCGATAAACTCAAAATTCTTCATTATCCTGCCTAGTCGTACCTATTTGGGAACTGTTGCCGAGACGCCACGGGAACTGCTCCTCTCGTCGCTAGCCACCTCACGTCAGTCGCGCTTCTTCAGGTGAGAGTCAGCCTTGAGTCCTCGCCCCCCTCTCAAAAACGCATTGTTGCGGTCCAACATCTTCATCCTTCCATCATGTCTGTCCATTAGTGTGGTTTTCTGGTTTCTGGCCCCAATCCTAGACCGGGTCACATGAAATTAGTTGAACCTTATATACCGGTGCCATACGCGGATAAATTCACTTGCCAAGTGTTGGCACAAACCATTACTTCCTCGACACTCCCTAAATTAGAAACCCCATGTCAAGTCAACTTCCAATACTATCAGGATTACCTACTTGCCAAAGAAGAACACTTCAAGCTTCCTATTGGTTCATAATAGGGTTAAAAATGATCCGATTTATTCAAGCTTTGACGCCCCATACTTTGCCGTCACGGCGTCAATTAATGAATGGTATCATGAGTCGCTTGGCCCCTTTGCTTAACGACGCATGACGAGTATGTCCATTGTGAACTTATTTCCTTGAATTTTGTGAGTTCATCAATGTTCTTATACGTCTCCAAAGGTCTGGTCAGGCTCGCCGCCTCCTATCATTACCACAAACGCCCGCACATGAACAACCGGCTTTTCAGCGCTATCTTGCTGAAGCAAGGGAAGCCGGTATACCGCATATATTCCTGATGTCAATTTGAAGCAAGGAGACAATCAGCTGGGTTTCCAACACCGAACAATACATTTGAGAATGGCAGGTTAAGCATATTTTCTCCGGCAAAGTAGCGTATGCATCTTATTCCACGCGCTCCCACATTTCTTGTTATGAGAAATCAGGAATGAGCGCCAGCTTGTCATGTCGCTCACCCGTTGGAGCAGCTAGGAGCTGCAGATGGCGGCACCCAAAATCATATCACCCAGCCTAAAAAGGCCAAATAGGGACGTTGATCGGTGCCCTCGACTCAAAGAAGTCCGACAGGGCTGCTCCAGTGAGTATTCAACCCCACTCTACCATAAGCCTGACTTCAATTTTGCGTATGATCGCCAGTTGGATACAGAAAGAGCTTACCAAGAGTTACCGTTACCCATTCCGTCACCGAGAATGGAGCGGCGTTATGGGGTAAGATATCTTTCCCTCGCCACAAGGCGTACCAGAATATTGCCTTTTCCACGAGCACTATTCAGATTTTGGAAAGGCAATTCTCGGGGAAAAAAACAAAAAAGCCCACCTCGGCCGGCACCTTTGATAATCAGCGATGAACTGCGTGGCTCGCGAGGCCATCGGTTCCACGCTCTCCGTCATTGTTCCACCGCCGACCCGCAATTCCAAAGAGCCCACATCATATGATGTCAAGCCGCAGTCGTGGTGCGTACGATGCTTGTTATGTCGTCTCCGGCACGTTACTTTCACTGTGATTATGGCTATTATCTACCTGTGTGACGTCACGGGGGACCGCCTTGTACCCGTACCTTAGTTATCTCGTCTCTAGTGGAAAAGAGAAATGATTTTTAGATTTCCCGCTGTTCCTGCTCCACTGAATCAGAGAGATCGAATTATATACGGATGATGGTCAGAGTCAACTCAAGCATTACCGGTCCGTTGGATCACTTTTTGGAGGGGGCCATCTTTTTCTTTTCCCACCGCAAGTCGCAGAGTAGGACCGCGAGCAACGTCTTGGCTAAATAGCGTCATGTCTCCAGTTTAACGTAACAAAACTCTCGGTGGAATTGAAAGGTCATGGAAATTGATAAAGACGCTGTTAGCAAGCTAGTTCGGAGGCTTTGGAATATTGGACCAACCACTTTTTCGTTGAGTTTTATTTTTATTTTTATTTTCACCAAGTGGTTTCGGTCATTGACTGATATAGGCAGATCGAGACGCAGAGCCAACACAACTTTGGCGTTGTCATTAAGTATCGGACATTTATATTAGTTCTCGGTTACATCAAGGTGCCCCTCAGTGCTATTCTTTCAAGGTTGCCCATCATCATGGCTTCCGTGCCGGCTTCCGATAGTGGACGGGCTTCCCGGCCGTCTAACAATGAAGACAAGGCTCCAACCCGCGAAAGCAGCGTGACCCGCGTCGAACCGAGTTTCAATGCCGAGAAGCATAAAAGACCAAACGCAGAGAATTCCAAGAACGGGGCGGACGGTGGCTTCTTTGAGAACGGACCCGGCCGGGACGAGGAGGCCGAGGGTACCAGGAGCCACGACGAGGAACTAGCGGCCGCGAACAGCCGTAAGCAACCAGAGTATACCCCTGATGGGAAGCGAATCATCACCGAAGACGAATGCGACCATATTCTGGGCTACTCCTGGCCGGCATGGAAGAAGTGGATGCTCCTCTCCTCCATCTTCGCCGTCCAGGTCTCGATGAACTTCAACACCAGTGTGTTCCCGAGCGCCGTCACTCCCATCAGCGAAGCTTTCAATGTCAGCGAGCAGGCTGCTCGTGCTGGCCAGTGTGCCTTTCTGGTTGCCTATGCGTTCGGTTGTGAGCTTTGGGCGCCTTGGAGCGAGGAGTTTGGAAGGTGGAGGATCTTGCAGTGAGTTTTCACAATCGCGCCTGTGCTGGACCACGACTGATTGATTGTTGTAGATGCTCCCTGTTCTTGGTGAACATATGGCAAATTCTTGCTGCTTTAGCTCCCAACTTTGGAAGCATTATCGTCGCTCGAGGACTGGTTTGTGGTGACCAAGCCCCCCCACGTCCGCAACGAAGCTAACATTACTATCAGGGCGGGCTCAGCTCAGCCGGTGGCAGCGTCACCATCGGAATGGTTGCCGATCTCTACCAGCCGGAGGAACAGCAATGGGCCGTCCTCTTCGTCGTGCTGTCTTCCGTGTTCGGAACCTCGGTCGGCCCTGTGGTCGGCGGTCCGATCCAGAAGTTCCTCCCGTGGTACTGGAATTTTTGGATCCAGCTCATATTCGGCGTCGTGGTCCAGTCCATCCATTTCTTCATGCCCGAAAGCCGCGCCACCATCATCATGGACCGAGAGGCCAAGCGGCGCCGCAAATCCGGCGAGGACATCAACGTCTACGGGCCCAACGAGGTTAAGAAGCCCCGGCTTTCCATGCACGAGTTCGCCATCACCTGGATCCGCCCCTTCGAGATGTTCGTCCGCGAACCCATCGTCCTATCGTGCTCGCTGTTATCGGGATTCTCTGACGCCCTGATCTTCACCTTCCAAGAGGGGTTCTCTCCGGTCTTCAACAAGTGGGGCTTCGGGACTCTTGAAAAGGCGTGGGCTTTCATCCCCATCAACATTGGATATTTGCTGGCGTACATCTCCTATATCCCTTGGATCATCAGAGACCACCGCGTCACCAGAGCAAAGGGACCGGACGCTCTGGTACCCGAGTATCGTCTGCAGTGGCTGTTGTACCTCGCCCCCCTCGAGACGATCGGCCTGTTCGGATTTGCCTGGACCTCGATGGGACCTCCCGAGTCTCACTGGATTGCCCCCATGGTTTTCTCGTGCCTCATTGCCATCGCTAACTTTGGCATCTACATGAGTACAATCGATTACATGGTGGCGAGTTACGGTCCGTACTCTGCTTCTGCTACTGGTGGAAACGGGTTTGCTCGAGACTTTCTCGCCGGCATTGCCGCCATATATGCGACCCCTCTCTACGAGAACATAGGCGATTCGCGCCACACCGAGTATGCAAGCACCATACTGGCTTGCCTTGCTCTCGTGATCACGATTCCAGTATATATAATCTACTGGAAGGGACACGTCATTCGAGAGAGGTCTAAATTCGCCCAGTCCCTCGAAGCGGACCGACGCGCCAAGGGCGGTCGTCGCGTTGTTACAGTTTCTCAAGAGCAGCTTGAGCCCAAGAATCTCTGATCGATGCGGCAATGGATTTACGACACAATTGTAATCTCAATGCAGATATAATATGATCATAGAATGATATAAGGCGTAAACCTCAAGTATAGTCAAGATACCAACGATACCAATGTACAGCAATTTGATGTATTACTCAAATGTTTCATGGCAATAGTTTCCATATACATTTGATGGCAATAGGAAGACACTGGCTTCGAGGTATCGAAGTGTCTGGCGCTTATACAGTTGGGCTATTGAACAACCATGGAGGCGTCCGAGCTGAAACCACATGCGACTTTCCCGGCCTCCACTGCCGTCGAGCCAAGAGGAAAAACTCTTCCCACATCCCGGCTCACATCAGTTCCCGGTTGGGCAGTTTCCTTGACGTCGGACAAAAGATGCCCAGCCAATCACGGGCCCGGGATTATCCTCCAAAGCCGATAATGTCGGAACCGGTGGGACTACCGGTCTCCACCGTCCAACGGGCTGTATGTCCGAGGGAGGGCCGGCCGGCCTCCGAACTGCCGCGCCTCCTCTTAGCCCTAATTATTATGCGTTGTCCGGTATACTTAAGTCTGTTTATTGGCGAATTGCTTATGTGTTAGTACTAAGGGCATATATCCAAGACGACCCCATAGGGTCGCACAGGCACACAACATTAATTAACCATAATTACAAAAACAGAGGGAAAGTATCATGCCCGATACCCAGCCCAACAAAATATTTAAGGAGAAATACCATAGAGGTATCTGGGTATCTACCCCATTGACCGCAAGTGAGTATATTTCAGGATAGAGGTGTACTATACACCCAATGTTGGCTGGCTGGCTCTAACTGCCTCATCCAATCATTTTGCCATCTCGCCGTACTGCCAACAATACCTTTTGTACATCTTGTTGTTAGAGTATAGTCTCAGCGAGGGGACACGCGTGTAAGCCTCGCACAGAAAGATATGCCAAGCTTGCATGAAGCCATCCAAGTCCACACAAGAGCTAAAATCAACCCTTGGCCTCGAGAACTTATGATCGAGTACCGGGCGTCTCTTGAGTAATATCTGTATGAAGCGATGTCGTTCCTCAAGGTCAAGCTCCGTCTTGAACGGCTCACATGTTCCTCGTAAGATGAGTGTTTCCGTTCGATCTTGAAAATGATTGGTTGTTCTCAATCGGCCTTAGGATTGGTCTTCGATCCATGCAAGGAACCCGCCACGGGCTGCACCGTACATCAGAAGCTGCTCTTTGCTAAAGTGCAAGGATCATTCATGAGAAGCATAAAGGAAGAATTCTGGCTGACAACAGGTGATCCAGCGTATTTATCCTAATATTGTAACAGCAAAACAAAGTCCCAATGAACGCCGGCCTAATGCATCCCGTCTCTCGCGTCAAGACCGTCTATTGCGGAGCGCGTCTCTCTCACCGATACATGTTGCTCGGGCATCCTCATGTCCTCGAATGCACCATCCGTCCCTTGACCCAGACCGCCTTGGTGTTCCGGTCGTCGCCGTTGAAGAGCCACTTGGCGACCCGGTCCTCCCAGCTCTCCCACCCAAAGATGTCGACGTTGCCCTCCTCCCCGCCGCGCCCGCCGTCCTCGTCGACCAGCGGTAGCCCGATCAGCTGCGCGTCCCACTGCATGCCGACCTGGAACCCGCCGACCTTGCCCTGCAGCCCGACGACCTTGGCGCCGCCCCTGGTCGCGAGGTGCAGCACCTCCTCGACCGTCAGCTTGGCCCTCTCCCGCTCCTGGCCACGCAGCCCCATGGCCACATGCCGCGACACCAGCGCCGCCTGCCTGGCGGCGTCGAGGATGCTCGGGCTGTACCCGCCGCTCATGTCCGTACCCAAGCCGACGTCGATGCCCTTGTCCCAGAGCCAGCGCACCCGCGCCGCACCGCTCGTGATGCTGCTGTTGCTGCACGGGCAGTGCGACACCTTGGCGCCCCTCTCGGCGATGGTGGCCGCCTCCTCCTCCGACAGGTGGATCGCGTGCGCGAGCACCGTCTTCTCACCCAGCAGGCCGTGGGCGTCGTAGACGTCGGCGTAGCTCGCGCTCTCGGGGAAGAGCTCCTTGACGAGCTCAATCTCGCCCTCGTTCTCTGAGATGTGCGTCTGCACGAGGACGTCGAGCTCTTTCTGCATGCTCGCTAGCCCCCTCATCGCCTCGCTCGAGCACGACGGTGCGAATCTCGGCGTCAGAATGGGCGCGACGATTTCGAAACCCGGGTCGATGGTCCGTATGTAGTCCACAGTCTCCCTCGTCTTTCTCAACGAATCTTGAGGCGACTCATCTTTGTAGTATTCAGGACACAAGCCCTCGCGGTCCATGCACACCCGCCCGACAAATGCGCGTTGGCCTAGTGCCAAACAGATGTCTGCCAGAAGATTGGTGGCGTCGACATCAATGGTGGCGTAGTACGCCGAGGTGGTAGTACCGTGGGCGAGGGTGCGGCGCACGCAGGCTGTGTATACGCGCTTGGCCTTCTTCTGGTCCTTGAGACTGGCCTCGAGCGGGAAGGTATACGTGTTGAGCCAGTCGAGGAGGGTGGACTTTCCAAAGATGCCGACATTGGGGTATTGCGAAGCGTGCACATGGGTGTCTGTGGTGACGGTAACGTTAGCCTCGAGGTTGCCGGGGGGTGGGGATAGGATTTGATTTTCCACGAGACAAACGCGTGCATGTCTCGCAAAGGTTTTGTAGCCCGTTGTCTCACCCGAGTCGAGGCAGCCGTAGGGAGGGTGGCATTGAGCGGAGGAGGTAGAAAAAGAAACCATGGCAGCTTACCGATAAACCCGGGGAAGAAGAACTGCCCCTCCTCCCCCACACGAACCTCGACATCACCGACCTTCCACCCTAGGCGGGGGAGCAGCTCGGCCTCGGACCTCCTCAAGTCGTATCCCACCTTGACAGCGACAATGGTGCCGGATGCGTCGACGCAGACAGCCGTGTCGTGGAGGTATTCGAGCGCCTCCCTCGTCTTGGAGTGCACAAAGGTGCCGAGGAAGAGCTGGTTACGTCGCGTTGTCGGCGACGATGACGAAGCCGCGGCGGGCAGGTCTCTAATCATATCGCCCATTGTTGGTAATGTTGCAACGTTCCGTTATTGTTGAGATTGTCGAGAATACCGCTTTTGTTGGTGTTGGTGAACGAACCGTCTTCGTTGTCGCAGTCGTCGCCTTGGTTAATAATCCGGTCCGGATCTGTTTGGCCTTGACGTTGGGATCACTATTGTGTTCGTTCGTTGCTCGGTTGCCGTCGGCAAAGTTGGGAAGGGAACCGACCCCACGGTGTCTTTCAAGAGTCCACGGCGGACCAGATGACGCTGTTGCCAATGCTCCAGCTGACAACTGGTACAACACTGATGCAAAGTGGATGTCAAAACTCTAGGTCCCGAGAGCGTACGAACAGATCACGAGCCGGTGTTGTTGTTGAAAGAAGGAGGGAAGGGGACGGTAGTACGTGGTGGTATGAATATCACCGAACCGGCACAAGAGTCCGAAGCTCCAAGAAAACAAGACCACGAGAGCGGCGGGGAAGGAGAAAAAGCAAGGAGGCAAGAGCCGGTAGATATATGCAGTGCGACAATATGACGCGCATCGAAACAGGTGCTTCACTTCATCCGCTGCCGTCAGTCAGGTATTGTTATCGGATACTTCCATCCCCTCGCCTCTAGAGAGAAAGAGAGATAAGACGAATCAGACGAGGGCTGGGGCGGGGGAATCTCAATCTTAGTGTGCAGTCTATGCAGCGGGAGAGTATCAGAAGCATGCCGATGAAGAAAGAAGCTTGCCGCATTCCGTTAGGCCAAAGCCGTCTACCGTGTCAAGGCACGCCGCCGTCGTCCCCATAAGCGGCGGGTTGGACAGTTGAGACCGCCACTGATAAAATCATGCAATAGAACCGCCAAGTTAAGAAGACCTGCTGCCCACTGACTTCCAGGCTATGTGAGCCCGGGAACCCCAAACACTCCACGACCCCCCACTTCGCAGCGCGCCGGTCGCACGTAACACGGCGCTCGCCGCTGCCCGCCTACCTACCTAGTAGGAGTAGGTAGGTACTTACTTACCTAGCTACGATCTACCTAGGTACCTTAGCTATTTAGTGGTGTACCATGTTAGTCAGCTTTGCTCGATCCGGATAGCTTCGATAGCTTCGTCCGACCATGTTTTTTTTCCCCGTTGTTCCAATCTCCTCATTCCTCCCACTATTCCCTCTTAACCCCTTCTAATCCGGGTAGATAAGCTCTTCTCTTGTTCACCGACTAGTACAGATAATTGAGCACCTTCTCCCTTCCATCATCTCCTTGCCTCGTTTGCCTGTCTCTTGCTCTTGATATTATTCCCCACTCCCCGCCCCCAGTATTTACTTCGCTTGCATTATCCGTACCAGCAAATGAATGCGCGCGCCATGCACCCCCGGAACCAACAACCAAACGCCTCCCCCCCCCCCCGTTCTATCCGTATGCTGTGTCTTTCGGGAGAACCATCTGCGTGTCGGGTCCTTGCAGCTTCCTTTTGCAGATCCCCCGCTAGCACTCACTCTGGCATCCTAGCACCTGTCAGCCACCAGTCATCCGTACCACCTGCTCGCTGCCCTGCTTGTACGTCGGACAATGCAGCGCCCCTTCGGGCGTATTCTTTTAGCCAACATGCGGCGACACGGCTTTCTTTCACCTTCATCCGAGAGAACCACAGTTGAACCAATTGCTCTCTATTATCTTCTCTTGCCATCCGTTTAAACACACTAATAGCAATCAACGCCCCGGCCCTTGACTAAGCACTAAAACTTTCTAACGCGACATGATAAAACAGTCATTGAAAAATAACGTCCCGAATTTGTACAACGATTACACCGTCCAGAGTCATTCAGTGTCCGTAATCAATCATCCCTCTTACTTTCTCTCCCCTCTCCCTTGTCGTAACAGCGTAATAATCTCTACCCACCATCCATCTACCAATGCAGCTAGTAGAACTGTAGCTGAGCTTATGCGGCCGCACCAGGTCCCTCGTGGCTTGCAGTGACGCCGCTGGTGCCGGGTACGTCCTGGTTGTACTGGTCCCAGTTCGCCAGGATTGACGCAATCTTGGGCGAGTTGGTGAGCTTGTACACGTCCTCAAAGTACTCCTTGGTGATGGCGAACGGCTTCGCCGTCACATTGGGGATGTACTTGCCAACAAGCTTGGCGGGGTCGATCGTCGTCTTGTTGATCTTCTTGAGAAGGAAGGACCGGAACGGCTTGACACCGGACCGGAGGAAGGTCGAGTGGAAAGGCACGTCGATACCGCGGAGAGGGATCGTTGCGAAACCACGCTGGAGCTCCAACGGGGTCGGCTTCTTGAGCGTCGCCTCTGCACTGCCCTTGATGATATCCTTGAGAGCACCCTTGGCCTCGTCGATGTTGCCGCGCATCTCCTCAATGTCGATCTTCTGCTGCTTGAGGAAATTGGTGACGCCCGTGAGCGTGTCGAGGGCGCGGAGGTCACCGGCGGCGACGTACTGCATATTGGCGATGTTGTAGTTGACAATCTCAAGCAGCCAGCCCGTCTCCTCCGAGATGCAGTCAACAACGAACTGCAGTGCTTCTTCGTTGAACGTCTTGGAGATCCTGCTGGGGTTGATGGCGCACATGGAGTAGTTGGAGCGTCCGGCCGCGTCACGCTCGACGGCGACCTGCATGGTCAAACCACGGTAGAAAACAACCGACACCAAACTCTCAATGGGCATGACCTCCGCCAAGGCAGCGAGGGCCGAGTACTCACCCAGAGAGTGACCGGCGAAAGTGCAGTCGCGGGGCACAAGGCCCTTGGACTTCATGTCCTCAAAGCTGGCCTTCTCCATGAGGGTAAGGGCTGGCTGAGTGAACTGAGTAGCCGACAGCAAGCCGGTGGGCGAGCGGTAGGTGTACGAGGTGGTCTTCTCGTCAATCTCCTTGAAGATACGTTCCGACTTGATGGTTCCATCGGCAGCAACGGTCTCGAAGGTCATGGCCATGTAGTTCTGGCGAATGGCCTTACCGCGGGGACCACCAAAGTAAACGGTGAGCTCCTTGGGGTTGTTCTTGACAATGTTGGTGATAGAAAAGCCTGAAGAGAATTAGCTAGGGATATTAGAGAGAAGCTAGGAATATAGCTTACCGTAGTTGTCCAACAAGTACTTGTCGGCGCGGTCCCAGACCTCCTTGGCGACGGGGCTGCTGGCGTACAATTCCATACCCATACCCTGTTCCTGGGAACCCTGGCCGGTAAAGACGTATGCCGTGACGGGCTGCTCAACCTCTGCCTCACCGAGGAGGACCTTCTCCTCCGTCTCCTTGTTGCTAGCCTCGACCTTGATGATCTTGCGGCCAGAGACCATACCGACGTGCTGAAGCTTGACCTGAAGGTCATCGTTGGGGAGAACCATGCCGACCAAAGAGGCGTGGAAGCTTCGGACACGGCCAATGTTGTTCTCAGCAGCCCACGTCTCAACCAAGCTACGGACGGCTGCACTGGAGTACATGCCGTGGGTAATGGTGCCGGGTAGGGCGGCGTAGTTGGCAAAGACGCGCGAAACGTGGATGGGGTTGTAGTCACCAGAGACGCGGGCGTAGTTCTCGTTCGTCGCAGGGGCACGGAGCTGAAGAGGGGTGCGCCCGCTGAGAGGAATGGGGTTTTCGAAGTTCAAAGGCTGGTCGAGGGGGGCACCGTTGCGCTCAAGGTAGTCGACGACAGGGTTGCCGTTGGATTGACCAGCCTCGTAATCAACGCTGGCGACCTGTATGACCTCCTTGGTGGGAAGCTCGAGCAAGACCTGACCCTGTGTGGAGACACTGCTGTACATCGTCTTGGTCTTGTAGCGGTAGAAGCTCTGAAGGCGGAATGTGAGCGTCTGTCCGAGGAGATCCAGGTCGCGGGGCAAGTCATCAGTGTTGAACCACTGCTTCGACTTAAGAACAGCGACGTCCTTGCTGGTGGCCAGGTGCAGCTGGATCGGGGTCTCCATCTTGCGCTGGAAGGTGTTCTCGTAATCTGTGTAGGCACCACGGTACAGGAACTGAGAGGTGACATCCATGACGGCTTCGCCATCCCGGTAGATGGTACCGCAGACCTCGACCATCTTGCCAGAATCCTGGTTGATAACAGCATTGATCTGGGCAGTGGTGGAGACCTCGTCGCCCTTCTTCAAAGGCTCAGCACCTGGCTTCATACGGAACTCGTTGGACAAGTGAACCAGCTTCAGCAGGTCACCATCAATAGTGCGGGGGAAGATGGGCTTGGTGATAGCCTTCCAGCCGACGACAATGGCAAAGTCCATGGGGGCGTAGACCGTCTTGCCCGGGCGCTCGACAAAGGCCTCGCCGGTGTTGCCAACCGCGTGGATGAAGTCGTTAATGTCTTCGCCGGTGATGGTAGCCTTGCCACCATCGAACTTGCTGCTAACATCGGCATCGAGGTCAAAGGTCTCGTCACCGAACCACGCACGCCAGTAGAACTCCTTGATGCGGTCATTGCGACCCTCCATAACCTCGTGGATGGGAGCGTAGCCAGCCTCCGGGTGGTAGGTGAACTTGAGAGGAAGCGCAACGGGCTTGCCAAGGGCGGTGGTGTCCTTAATCATGCTGACGACAATCTCGTTTTGACCTTCAAGCTGGACCTCAATAACATCGACGTACTGGTTGTGGCGAGGCTGCTCCTTGACGACGATCTTGGTCTTCTTCGGGTCCTTGGGGTTGTGGATCTCGACAAAGAGGCCACGAGCGGGGGCAAAGATGCGCTTGATGGGGTTGGTCTGGAACTTCTGGCCCTGAACAACAACCTCGGAGGTGAGAAGAGCATGGCGCCAGCTGCGGTCGGGACCAGCAAGCAGAGCCAGCCAAGCATCGAGGCTAGGCAGAGTGGCCGTGGGTGAGGTCGACAGACGGTAAGTGTTCTTGTGGGCGTCATCATACGACACGGTCAGACCATCGACATCCTCGACGGGAACCTCGCTCTCGATCAACTTGCCACCGAAGTACTCAATGGTGGGAATCGCCTCCTTATTACCGTTGTAAAGGTCTCTAGTCAAATACTCAACGTGGGTGTTGTGAATACCGTCAAGAATGTCCTTGATGGGCTCGTCAATGACCTTCGAGTACTTGACAGCCATAGGTCCTTGAAGAATGCAGGTACGGCCGACGTCCTGGCCAATTACAGCACCAAGGTCCTCAGACTGCCACAGTGAATCCTTCTTGAAGTAGAAGTCGAAGTTCTCGTCAAGGGTGGGGATGAAGGTAACAGGCTTCTGAATGGGGCGCAAGCATAGCATCAAAAAGTGCTGAACATCCTGGGCGTTGATGAGCTGAGTCTCAGCATCAGGGTAGTGAGACAAGATCTTCTCGACAGTCTCGTAAGGGGATTGGAGATCCTTGTAATCCTGAAGCTGAGCGACCTGACCGGGCTTGGAGGTGAAACGCTCCTCGACACGGCGGATGAAGTCACCCGTGAGTCTGATGAATGTGGGATCAATCCAGCGCTGCTCGTGACGAATGTAAAGCAGGTCCACCATGCGGCGGACAACCTCACCATAGGTCATGTCCTCGAGGTCGACCGCCTCGCCAGCACGGTTGCGGCCGAACCAAACCTTCTGGAAATCGTCGTTGAGCTTCTTGATGATGTAGTCACGGTTCTTCTTCAACTCAGCAACACGCTTCTCCTTGGGGAGAGAGAAGATCTTCTTGTCCATCTCAGCCCAGAAGAGAACACCACGAGTAGCGAGCTTGTGGATGGGCTCGCCCATTTCTGAGAGAACAGTGACAATACCACCAGTAGGGCCAGTGTACGACTTCTCCCATTCGCTGTCCTCAACACCAGGTGCGTCGATGATGGCCTGCTTGGCAGCAGGGCTGGTATGGGCCTCCTTGGCGACCATCATGCGGCTGCCAAATAGAGTGCCATCGAAGGGCATGGGAGGGTAGCCGTAGTTCTTTGACCACTCGCCCGTCAGGTACGGGTATGTGTCCTCGGCACCACCGAAACCACTGCCGGCAACGAGAATGACGTTTGCCTGGCGACGGATACGTGGGTACATGGTCAGGACGGGCTGGTGGAAGTCCTCGTACGAATGGTGACCGCCACCACGACCACCAGTCCACTGCAGAATAACAGGGAAGGTAGGGTTGGCCTTGGCGATATTGATGACAGACTGGATCGCATCAACAGAACCAGGCTTAAAGCTGATGTGCTTAAGGCCAAGGGTGTCGATGTACTCCTGTGCAACCTCGACGGAAGGAACACCAGCACCAATGGTCAGGCCCTCGATGGGAACACCTTCAGCTCTGAGCTTTGCGAGCATGGGAATCTGCCACTGCATGGCGCGAGGGTTGACGTAGATGAGGTTGACGCCAATACCACGTCCAGCAGGGATAGCACTCTCGATCTTCCTCAGAGCAGCGGTCATCATACCCGGTTCGAAGTAGCCACCACCGGCCAACTCAATGTGGTAACCGGCGTTCATGGTCGCCGCAACGAACTCCCAAGGGACGGTGCAGGGCGTCATACCGGCGACAACGATGGGAGGGAGACCCAAGAGTCTGCTCATCTTGGTGTCGACGTATGTGTCACCGTTGGACGTGGTAACGAGACGGGGGCCAAATTCCTTCACCCAGTCGACCGCATACTTGACGGCGTGCTCTTCATCACGGTCAAAGAGCTCTGGCTTGTACCCAACCTCAGTGACGGAGCCGTTGACAGAGCCAGCAAGAATGACGTGCACGCCGGTACCCTCCTTATTGCGGCTGGTGAGAACACCAAGACCAGAAATGCCTCCAGGACCGAAGTCAAGGACATGAGTCGCCTGGGGAAAGACGGTAGCCTTCTCCCAGTTGACGGGGTCTCTGGTAATGAGACGGATGAGGGTGGGAACAATGTTGCTGTCGCCAGCTTCGCGAAGGTCCTTGCCAGTGTTGGTGTCGAACACCGCAGTACCAAGAGACTTGGAGGAAATCTTGATGTTCTTGAGGTCCTCATCAATCAGCTCCGTCGCCTCAGCAAGGTATTTGCTGTGGAAAGGGGCGGTGATAGGGAGGAAGCGGTGAACAAAGCGGAGCTTGCGCTGGCCGTGAGGAATACGGTTCTGGTCCAATCCAGTCGGCGCCTTCACCTTGCGGAGCTGGGCGTTAAGACCGTACAGGGAAATGGGAGGACCCGTAACAACGAGATTACGCGGGCTGTTGATAAGGGAGATGGAGATGTGGCGATCGGCAGGTAGGTACTTGTTGGTCGCATCAATGTGCTTCTGAACCTCAGCCTGAGAGAGGTCTCGGATGCTAAGCATGGGGGTGGGAAGACCTTCCCCGTTGTCCACGGACTCTCTCAGCATGGTGGGGGTCAGCGATGTGCGGGGGAACACCTGTTGGCTGCGGGCACCGATCCAGAAAAGGATCGTGAGCGCCGAGGGTGCGAGCTCCTTCCATGACTCCCAGGAGTCTGCGGCGGCCGTGATAGCGGCGAGAACGATGCCCTGGGAGTGACCAGTCGTACCGCTGATCTGTTCGCGAAGCAGGCCGGGGTGTACACCGAGAACCTTGCAGGTGACCTCGTAGTGCGCAAGCTGAACGAGACCAATCAGGGGAAAACTGACAGGGGCCGAGATGAGGTAGTCCACATCAGGCGTCTCGTCTTCGCTCTCGAGCCATCTCATGATGTCGAGGCCCTTGGGGTAGAGCTTCTCTGCCTCGGGGTGCTTGGAGAGGGTCTGGAGCAGTTCAGCGGCGTTGAGGATAAGCGCGCCGATGAAAGGCTGGTATGTCCTGTAGATCTCGCGCAACTCATCAAAGTACTCCTCGATGTTGCCCTGTCCACCGAAAATGGTGTAAATGTCGGCGGAGCCATCGTCGGCAGCGCGGAAGAGCGCTGAGCCGTATGCCTTGATTGAGCGACCAGTGGTCTGTCTGGCCTGGTAGTAGCTACGGATGACAACCAACTTCTTGGCATCAATGCCGGGCAACGTAGCGGCGAGGGCGTGGACCTCGTTACCTTGGAGGTATCCACGCTCGAACTCGTTAAGGACAAGCTTCAGGACCTCCTCATAGGAGCCCGACTCGTCGTCCTCACCCTTCTCGACTTCGTCGGCGACGAAGCCCATGTATCTCGCAACCAGCTCTGCGACGGACGAAGGCTCGTCATCTTGGGCGAGCTCGTCTGTGGCGGTGGGGAGAGTGGCAGTAAAGCGATCCTTCAACTGCGAAGCGTGGAAGTGGAGAGCGGTCGGTACAAGGAGGGAGGTCTCGAGAGAACCGTGGCGAAGAGTAAGGGGACGCAGAGAAGCGTTGGATCGGGGGGTAGAGACTCCCGTCTGGGGACCGGTTCCGGTGCCGTACATGGTGATGGCGGGCTTGGGGGGTATCAAGAGGATGTAAAGTTTTTTTTCTTCGTGGATCTACGAATGGAGCTTAACTCGCCACATTTGTTAGCCGAGACATTCTTGGACAACGTGTTTTTTCCCCCATTCTCTTCTGTTATTGCTCCGCCAAAGAGCCAATGGGGGCGTTGAAAACGCTAAAATTGACTTACCTGTCTGTGACTCCGTGTACTCAGCGAAGAGCAGGAGGCAGCTATTTCAAGATGCTCCGGGATGACGGGGGAGATGTAGGCGGCGGTGAGGGCGGATGTGTGGGTGTGGGTGTGGTCTGCAGTATTTGGGTGGACGTCTAGAGCTATATATCCGATTCTCCGAGAGCAATTGGTGTTCTATGAAAGACAAGAGAAAAGGAAACGAGAAGACTGCCCTGCAAGATTGGTCCTTGACGTGGAGTTGCGGGGGAGAAGGAGAGAGTGGCAGATGGCAGGTTAAAGAAGACTTGGATAAATGATCAAGGGAAGGTTGGAGGGCGATTGAAGGTTATGACGGGAAATACTCAGCAATTAGTTGAAGGGCATCCCTTTGCACTTTTGCTGCGGTCTGGGTCTGGGTTCCGGGTCCTAGCTTTCTTGGAGTGGTGTGCGAGTGAGGAGTGAGCGTGCCTGTCTGGATCTCAATGTGTGAACATGGGTTGATTGGGATAGTGGGATTGGGGAATTGGGACAGGCACAGGTAGTTTCACACCTCATTGATTGAGGGCGGCGTGTGTCTGTCTGTCGTGTGGTGTGGAAGTGGAGGCGATGTGGATGGATCCAACCTTTGGGACAAGTACCTGTTGATTGAGGGGTGCCTGCCTTTGGTGCGAGTGAGGTCAATCCCATCAACGTAATTGGAGGTGCCTGGTCCAGTTTGAAGCCACGATGGGGATGGAGGGAGGGGGAGGGGTGGAAGAGTGGAAGGAGGTACCCAGGGAAGGGTCAGGTACAAGGCACGCCGGTAGAGACGGTACTCAACGATTAAAAAAAAATCAGGCCAGGTCATTTCTGGGACATTAGGTAGACATTGGAATGAACCCAGTTGGTTCGGGCTGGCGGAGCAAAAGGCTCGTTGGCCCGATGTAGCTTGTATCTATGGCATTGAACGAATCGGGTACCTATTCGGGGGCTGTCATCTGTCGTACTTCTCTGTGCGCCTGCAAGTAAACGAGCAAACGGGCAAACAAGCGTTGGTACCGGCTACCTGTCCTATCAGGCATTGGAAAGCCAATGGAAAGAGGCAGTTGAAGCACTTTCCAGGAATTGCTGGTGTAAATTGGTACCTTGTCTGCAACATCTTCCTTCATTCCTTCCTCCATCTCCTTTCATCTACGCTTGCTACCTAGTTTCGCCACGTCTGTCCCGGTATACAACAGGGTGTTCATGCTTGTCAATAGGCATCTGGTGTCTTACTCTTTTCTGCCACTCCATGTTGAAGTTGTCCCTCTCTCCAAAGTCTCAAATCTCAATGTCTCGCCAAATTTTTAGTTCTGTTGGGGATGGTCGCACACCCAATCCACCCCTCCAGCTCCACCCATGACTTCATGCAGCCCGAGTGATCCGCAAGGGTGCTACTGCTGTTGGAGAACGGCGGCGGCAATGTATTGGTACTTGTCCTCCTCCTCCGCCGACCGTCCTCAAGGATTCGCACGCATTTGATGGCAGGACGCACCGCACTGCAACAACTACGACGGCATTGCACTTGGCTAGACGGGGCCACTATCCACGCTCTCCCATCCTGTTTCCCTCTTTTGATGCACTTTTGAGGCGGCGTGCATCTTGTCTCCGGATCTTTGCCGCCGAGTCTGAGCAACTTACATAACCGCCACTCTCCTCTTGTCGGGGTCCTGGACGCACGAATCATCGGCCAAATGCTATCATCTTCGGCTCTTCTACTCCCACCATGTTCTTTCTAAGAACAGACTTTACGCGCACGGCGATAAGACGCCGTGCTGCTACCCCGGATGCATCAAAGAAACATTAGCCACGCTCGCCCGCTCACGCCGCCGCGGGTTATCTCGGGCTCTACGTGACATCTCTCGCTACCGAAGTAAGTGCCTTGCCAATGAAGTGAAGTTTTGGTTCTGTTCAGCAATCGGTGGGGTTTTTATTAAGAAAAGAGATAGAGAAAATAATCTTATCTTTGGCTCTTCTTTCTCGCCTGACCACAGAGGCGAGAAAGGGTATATAGCTCACATCGGCCTGGACCCTACGTGTCCCAGATATGCGGGAATCGGGATCCCCCAAAGTACAGGATACTTGAAGGTTCCTTGCGTTCCCGCAGTAGCGCCCCGGTCGGTTTAAAGGCGGTCAACAAGTTTTAGCGTCGTAACCGGGTTTTCTGCCGTCCTTTCCTCTCCACCGCTCTCACCCCACGCCTGGGGCTGATGCCGGGGTGGATGGGAAATGCGCGGGACCCTGAGGAAGGGGGTAGCCGGCAGGGAGAACGGGATGTACAGTTACCCGCCATTGCGTCGCATTGAAATCTCACCGCACTCTTGTCATCCGAGCACGCACGCTTGGACAGGCTGGCTGGCGGGGCGGGAGCTATCTCTGTGCCATGCCACGCGGACTCTCGTCGAGGAATGCAAGCCCCTCGATGGCAGTCCTCTTTGCTTTTTCTCTTTTCTGCCCCCCTTTTTGAGGGACGAGGGGCAACTGGCGCTAAGAATCGTGCATCTTTGAGACAGCCCGCCCGCCTAGTAGTAGCCCAGCACTTTAAGCATGCACTGATGAGAACAGGGCTGGAATTCTTGAATCTCGACATTTTGTTGCACCGAGCTCACTGGCTCGGTCTCCGATTGCTCATCGATGTCGCTCGGCGGGCTCGGACAAGCCAAATCTAATAGGGCAGGATGCCAGTCGTGCCCGCCAGAGACAAACGGCGATCCGCCGCATCTGTTGCGCATCACAATGGTTTTGTTGGATGAGGCTGCCGCCCGCCACGTCTTGACCCCACCTTTCCCCCCATTGACCCTCCCAATGACACTCCATTGAAGAACTGGAGCGACCCGTCGGACGCCGTCAAAAGGTCAGCATGGGCATACCAGGCTGCCAGATGAGCAGATCAGTTCAAACCAGCTACCGGTCGAGGCTGGAGCTGAAGCATCTCAAACAGCGGACTCGAACCTCCAAGGGGAAATAAAGCGAGAAAAACGAAGAATGGGGAAAAGCTAGGGTCAAGTTTGTTGTAAAACCAAGCCGCCAAGTATCGCTACGTTGGCCCTCGTCAAGTTTGGCGGGTTCCTATGTACATTGTACAATGGTACCCCTGTCACCCTGTAGAACAGCGGCCACTTTTTGCCCCTCGTCTCCATTTCTCATTCCTCCCAATACACCCTTGCATCCTCTCGTGCTGATAACCTGGGAGGGGGGTTTTTTTTTTCTTCTTTTTTTTTGCCTAATGAGGAGCTACGGCTGCTCCCCCCCCAATTGGTTGATGGACCCATTTGCTATCGTGGCACCATTTTCCCGGCCGCAGCTAGACGCTTGCCGTACATGCGTACACATACGAGAATCGATCCGTGGTTGAAAACTTCAACTGAGTTCCCGCCGCGACGAAACTTGCCGGAACCTTATCCGTAGCGGTTTGCAGCTTATCGTTATCGGCCTCAACGTCCCACCTAGCTCCAGTCTCAAGCTCCCAAAAATAAGCCGTGGCTGAATATCGGCAGAGGCTGTGACCAACAGGAATGCGGCGATAAGTAGCTGCTGATAGGGACCCGATCAGAGTGAAGGTGTAACGATGTGAGGTATCTGTAAAGCTTGGAGAGGTCTCAGCCACAGAGCCTCGCACCTGTCTAACGCCTACCTACGTACACTAAGTCTTGTCGAGGGGCAGGTACGGCCGCCACTAGCCCAAATCCAACATTCCGAGAGCTCGGGAAAGGGAAGCGAGAAAATTGGTGACGCCAGCATGTCTGGTCTGAGAAGATGGCAAAAAACACACGCGGGCGCACGACAGCCCAGGCGTGCCAAACTGCATTAGTCCACGTTGACAGCAGTAGCAAAGCCTTGGAAACAAACATGGCATTGCAGTCGCAAGCTCCTAAAGAAGGGGCAGAATCCCTAGTCGACACCAGGTCGAAGATAGCACAGCGCACGGATGAAGCCACTTGAGACTTGTCGATAATGCATGCGGCTCGATGATGCTGCTAGCGCTTCGCTCGTTCTCTCGCACAGAAGATGGGAGAGCATTGACTGACCATCACCGGGCCAGGTGACAGGCATCCAGCGACATCTTGTAGACCAGCTTCGATGGCGGCTCACGGCGAGGATGAGCATGGTACCCTAAGACTCTCCTGCTTTACATAGCTTGGGTGTTCATTTACGAATGCGACCGGGAGCTCCTTGAAGGTGGCGGTCAAACTGATGAGATTCTTGCTCATTCATCATCCCATCTCTTGGTGGGATTTCAGCGGTTTGCAACCAACTCTTATTCGGATTCTATAGGGTCTTGTCAACTAGAGAGAGGCAGCCAAGGCTACTATACTAGTACGCAGTAGCTCTAACGTCAACGGCACATCACTGACAAGTCCCATACCTCCCTGCCGTCCCTCCTAAGGAAGGTAGAAAATTAATAATCGTAGCAGGCCGTGTCCGCTGTCCCATCCTGCATTCCCCCAATGAAATGGTTTTGTGGGGAAGCCCCCCTGATCATCCCATGCTCGATTGGGGAAAGCGTCTGAATATGGTTGAGAAGCTCTGCAGGCGTTGCAGCACACCCGGCAGCCACACCACTTTGTCGACTTCCACACCAGCAGCTATTGTGCTTTCCCACCGGCATGGAGGGGGGGAAACATGGGAGGGAAGGGGACAACGCGCGCCGGAAAGTCGACGCCCCACCTTCCACTTTCCTTCGGGATCTCTTCCACGTCCCTTGCAAGGACGGGGAAGGGAAAAAAACCACTGCGGTAAGAGAAACAGGCGGGAGGTCATCAGCCATTCACAATGCATCGAGACAGGGTCCTTCCCTCACCCATGTTT